AAGTCATTCTTCTTCTTCGGTCGCCGTTGGTGCTGAGGTGGGTTCCAGGCTGGAGCAGGTGGCTGAGATGGTGGCGCCTTGCGGCCCTTGGTGTCTTGAGAGGAAGGTGCCTCCTTGGTAGGTGGTGGCGCCTCCGAGGTTGTGGCTTCTTGAGTGATTCGAAGCGCTTCCAATTCGGCTGCAATGCGGACCAATTCTGTAGCGTCGTCCGCGTCGGGGATCCGAGGTACCATCTTGATCAGTGCTGTGATGAGTTCGTCGTGTGTTCTAACCATGATGCAACAAGTAGTGTCAATCCGAGTTGTGGTGAACTTTCCGTGCGATGTGGCGAGTTAACAATCGACATGGCTGTTGGTGCGTGGGCACCAACAGGTATCCGTTGTCAGGCCGCGCATGTCGCGCGTCACGGGGTCCCTTTAGTAATGACGTCACTCGGGATACAACCAGAACGGGATCGCCTCAATTCACCCGAAGACAACCCGGACCCTTTCAAATGGGAATAACGCGTTGGACAAACGCGAACCCCGTGAGAGTCGCACGAGACTTGAGTGGAGTCGTCTCTGTTTGGTGCCAAAGACACGATGAACGGCAACTTCAGTTTGACCTTCGATAGCTTCTGTTCGGCCTGTGATAGCAGGAAGTCTTCAGGCCATGTCGACACAATCTTTTGATCTAAGCAATCCAAAGAGTAAGTGCTGACAAACCCCTGTGCAATAAGTTTGAACGTGGCTAACCATTCGTTTCTTGTCGTTGGCAGGTTTCCCATCATGCCGTCCACCAATCCTCTGCACCGCGCCAATCGCATCAATCGTTGCCTGGAGCGCCGACAAACTCGAAACTCCTTTCAACAAGCTCGCATCGCTCTTCAGGCTGCCCACCTCAACTCGATGGCTCACTTGGACACGTTGTTCGCGGATTCCAACGCAACTTCGACTCGTCATGGTAACGCGGTGTCTGCTGTGGAAAATAGCTTGAACCGAGCCGACACGTTGGCCAAAGGTCTGAAGAAACAGCGGGGAGCCGCCGATGAAGTCATGACCTTGTTGGTTGCCAGCGAAGGAGCCGACGCCGCTGTCTACGACGCCACCCGTGTCAAGATGTGTCGTCGTGGTCTGGTGTTCCGGGGAGCCAAGTTGGAGCAGCTCAATGCTGCGTATCCCTCTCTCGGTCTTGTTCCAGCCCGTGAGGCTGCTTTTCTCCAGGCCTATCCGGAGTACCTTCCCGACCCAACTTTGGGTCCCAATCAGCGTGGGAAGGACTACGAGCACGATCGCACTGCTGAGTTCTTGGTGAAGCGCTTGGCAGCTACGACTCCAGCTCTTCCTCCAGCTGCCCGTCAGCAAATCACTGCGATCGTCAATCGGTGCGTGGACGACATTGACAATGTGCTTGTGGGAGCTGGACAGCCTGCAGCGTCTGCTGTCATGGGTAGAACCATCATGGCGGTTGTCAGCTTGAACGAGGAGCACGAGGTGCAGCCCGTGTGGGGCCACGGTCCTTGAAGGTCCGACCACCACAGAAGAGAAGAGGAGGTTCTGTCGTCGAAACACAACCCCCCCCCCGCCCCTTATCCCAATATGTTATCAACGGGATGGCTGATAACTCAATTAACAAATAAACAAACCGTATTTCAGGTTTACAAAAACATCCAACACCTTGGATCTAGCAGATCGGAGAAGGCCTAAGCCTTCTTGATCTTGTTGAGCTCTGTGCGCATATTGCCGACATCTTGTGTAGCTTTCAGAGCCTTCGAGCCAGCGTCTGTAGCAAGACGCTCTACCTTGGTCATGGCGTCTGTCATAGTCTTCATGGAAGACTTGACTGCTTTGACCTCGTCGGACACCGCTTGAAGCTGGCTTGAATCGATACGGTGTTCCAACTGGAACTCCATAACTTCCTTCATGATAGACGGATGACTTTGAAAGCCACGCTCAATGATCTCCTGAGATCTGTTGAGAGACTGCATGAGAGTCCAAATGACTAACGCGCGGTCAGCTTCGGACGACAGATCAGAAACTCGTTGCGCCTTGGCTCGCAAGGTTTGTAGAGTGCCAAAATACCGTGAGACACATCGTCCCACCAATAGCCACGCTTCCTTGGAAGGGTAGTTAGAAGCGGTCGTAAGGGACCGCTGGTAGTTCGTCATGTAGCTTAAAACCCGCTCACAGTGTTGCAAGGCGAGACGAGTCATGTGTCCTTTAAGACGTCCTTCTGGCGTGCTCATGTCGCGTAAGGAACTGTACGACTGCCCCAGGTCTTCGAGTAGTAGAGTAATGTGGGACTTCTGACTGTTCATGTTTTCATCATACGCAAAATATGATGGCAAAAGTGCTCCAAAACCCTTGTTGTGGTCAACCAACCGGCCATTCTTGAGGTCCGCAGATGACGAGAAGAAATAGGGAGGTCGCATGTGCGAGAAAGACGCCAAGAGGTCACTGTCTTCCTGAGTGCGGTGCGCTTTCATGGACGTAGTATATGACCTGGCGTGTTCTTCTCCCGATTGAACACCAACAACCATGATCACAAAGGCTGTGAATGAGTCCATGCAGCCAGCGAGTGATGAGATGTTGTGCTTCCTGACAAACTTGAGCACATCATCTAACGAGCTGAAAGTGTAGTCGTCTGACCTGAAGGCTGAAGCATCAAGTGACTGGTTGGCCAACTTGTCTGCCTTTTCCTCCGCGTCCGTGAGACGTAGACGTAGGCTATCAATGGTGTCTGACATCTGCCTGAGAGATGATGAGGTCTGCTGTTGGTACAACAGCTGCTCAGATTCCAGATTAGACAAGCTCTGATCGTATCCTGTGTTGTGGGGACCGTTCATTGTCTGATTCCCGAGCACCGCATGAAGGCGCTCCTCTAGGCTTTTTCCAAGTTGTTGGAAATTGTCTCCAACAGTACTGAAGGTGCGGAGCATCTTGTCCTCCAACTTGGATATGCTCCTGGAGCTGGATTGGGTGATGCCTTCCATGCTAGCTCGGATGGAGCGTCCTTCTTCCTTGTTGATAAGTACCGCGTCACAAATCGTGGCAGCACCAAAATCGGTTGGGGTGGGCCCCACACGAGCGTCAATGATGTGAATAGCTTTGTTCCCATTGAATAAGTGCTTGTTGGTTTTGTCAAAAGCGATCGAAACTCTGGAAGTGAGGGTCACAACAGACGACCGGAGGGTATCTGTGGTGTCATTTAGCTTCAGAACGGCTTCCGACAGCATCTTGAGGTCATATTTGGTCTCCTCATCTTGTGCCACGTCAGCTTCGGCAAGCATGTTGAGTCTGGCTTTGACGCCTGACCTCAACTGTTTCGCGCCCAAGGCTTCATGCATTTCTTCCGTCGTTGGTTCCATGAATCGCTGAAGCTTCGCGGGAGTCTTCAGGATTCGGTCACCGCCGCTGAAAGAGTTGGATGACTCTTGCTTGCTGTCAGGCGTACTAGGGGAAGAATTCGCGAGTTCGTGCTTAAATCCTTGGTGTGTCAAAACCATGGCACGCAGTACATCGGCTTGCCCAGTGAAACCCTTCAGCGATTTCGGAACCTCACTTGGCAGGTCGCTGATTAGAGCGGCGGGCACGGCAAAGGCCTGATCGATCTTCTTGGGAACTTGAATGAGTACAGTTTGGCCCATTATGGCACCCAGTTTTTCCTCGCGGTGCGCATAGACTTCGCAACTGATCTTCAAGCAGACACGGGTCTTGGCCGAGAACTTGATAAAACCCAAGCAAACATCCTCCTTAACAAGTACGAAACGAGTCTTACCTGAAGTGTCCAATCCTTGGTTACTATCAACACCTCCATTTCCACTAAAACCCCCCCCGTCAATACTAGCACGCACGGAGTCGGTAGATGAAGGAGAAGTGCTATCGCCAAAAGCGTAAGCAGCTGGAAAGGCAAACTCATCGACCGTCATGGCGATGGATGTACTCGAAATTTCTCTGCAAATAGACAAGATGGTCAAGAGAGTGATCAACCTCACTTGTTCAACTTGGTTGGCTGCAGGTTAGTCTTGATAGTAGCTTTTGGATCTTCTGCTTCAGGAAGAATGAGTCTGTGGTCTCTGAGAAGTCCACCTGGCCAATGACTCGCCAGGTTGCTTCTTCCACTGAATCTTGGATGCTCCTGACTGAGTTGTAACTGTGACCTTTCCCCTTGACCCTATCTGCTTGGCTGGGGGCGAGTATTGCTCCCGTACATCGAGCTACATGCACTGGTGGGCTGGTGGGCCATGAATTGCACAGGATTTCTCCATCCCCCTGTACCGGTACCGGTACTACCGTACAGCCTTGCTCGTCATGTTGGAGTAAAAGTGGAAGTACGCTGTACTGGTGCTAGCAGTAAGCAGTACCGTGCTACCGGTACTGGTACTAGTAGGACACTCCAAACCTGAATGTAAGAAACTCATCCGTCGTCGACGCAGAGTTTGAACAGCCCCACATTGATGTAATGGTACGGTATGTACCGGTAACTCCCGGGATGTGCGACAGAAATACTCATTGATGTACCGGTATGTAACGGTAACTCCCGGGATGTGCGACAGAAATACTCGATATGTACGACATAAATAAATAAAGCTCGACAGCACCTATTTGAACCAGATTGAGATGCTCAAAGTTTAAAGTGTTAGCCAAGACCAGGGCTAGGCCCAATTTAATTGCACTGCACCGTATTGAAAATTGAATTGTATTGTTTTGGTATTGAGAGCCTGTCTTAGATATTGGGTATTGTATTGGTATTGGAACCCCCCCCCCCCGCAATATCCCATTGGAGCCGACCTAGACAATTCCAATTCGGCATTGTTTAGCGCCGGACATTTAAGGTTGGGGTATTTAGTAGGGATATGGTGCTTTGAAGTTGAAGTTGCGCAGCAATCTAAAAATAGATTCTTTCTTCTGCATCATCCCACGCTCCTTGCCAATGTTTTCTTTAACCAGGCCGCCTCAGCCAGAGCATTCATTTTGGATTGAATCGTTGGAAAGGAAAAAACCAAAAAGCAAGCAGCAACAATGTCTGATTTTTTTAGAGCTCGAACTGGAGCTGCCAAGAAAAGGAAGACGTCAACGCCCTCGGGTCGATTGTCCCATTCCATTTTCACCAAACCCAAGGGATGGAAGACTACCATTATCAAAGCTTTCAGCACGGAAGATCGGGAAGAGCGCTACTCCAAGCCTACCAAGGCATCCAAAGGAAAAGATATTCCTCACATGAGAGTTCACTGTGGATTGAAGTTTTCCGATGGTTCTCCCTGCAACGCTTTTCGAGATATGCAGGTAGAATCTGGCTATGGCAATTTCTGGAAGCATCTCCTTACTCATTTTGATAACAAGGAAGATGATTTGATGGCTGCGTATGTTGATGCTACACTGAAGGCTGCTTCCAAGGGTGGTTGCGCTATGGATCATGCCGAGGCGGCTAGTTTCGGAGCCAAGGAAAATGCGATGTACGACTGGATCGATTTGATGGTTATGGAAAATTTACCATTGTCTGCCGTGGAAAGTAAACGTTTCCGTCGTTTCAGCCGTTACTCGGATGAAACTGTGTTTGGCCACAAGATGATTCGTGATACCATGTTCCACTTGAAAGCTCTGACTCAAGGAGAAGTGGTCAAAGCAGTCAAGAAAGCTCCATTGTGTGATATTATACACGATGGATGGACGTGCGATCGAACCCATTTCTTTGGTTTGATCTGTTCATTCAACAAGACAAGGACTGTGATTGAGGATGGAAAGAAAGTCGTTAAGGAAGAGGTTGAAACGGTTCTACTTTCTGTAGCTCCTATTACCCGTCTTGCAGATGACAGTGCTAATGTGGAGGAGGCGAGCTCATTCACTGCACAAGTGCACTGTGACTACATCCAAGAGCTTTTTGAAGAGCTTGGCATCGACTTCGACAAGTGGGTATTCTGTCAAACGGCTGATAACTGCAGTACTAACCTGAAGCTGGCCAAAGATCTTGGAATCCCACATGTTGGATGTATGAGCCACAAATTCAACTTGGACGTCAAGGATATGATTAAGAATGAGGCTGCGTTGAAAGATATGCTCGGCAACATTCATACTGTGATCACTGCCGCCAGAAGCAGCATACGAAATATGGCCGTCATTCGAAATTTGACGGCAGTTGGCTTGGCTGTTCCGAGTGAGCCCCGTTGGAGTGGAGAATTCAACATGATTTTCAACTATGGTCTGGTTTGGGATAGCTTCAGGCGTGCATCGATTGACCATGAGTGCACTGACGATTTCACCGACAATTTGTGCATGTCCCAAACTCATTTTCAGACAGTACAGAAGAAAAGTTTGATGCTGAAGGAGTTGAACGATGTTACTAAACCCATGCAGCGTCGCCATTGCAATCTATTGAACTGTGCAAACCCCCCCAAACTGCTCGAAGAGAAGATTGCCGACAAGAAAGCCAACAATGAAACCGAGCACCCCCTTTATGAGTGTACCTTTGAGCGCAACCGAACAATGCTACATGGACCGCTTGCAACACATGTCGACTTTGAGTCAGCTGTGGTGAAGGTTCAGAAAGGGGAGGAGGCAACGCTTCTCTACGGTGAAAAGGCAGCAATCAAGAGCGCTTTGAAGACTGCTGTTGCTCTCCGTGGTTTTGGCACTGAAGTTGATACTGATGATGAGGTTGAGGAAGCGACAACAACCACGGGTTCCCCAGGTTTGTACAAGCAAGCTTTGAAGGCCGAAGCCAAACGCATGGCTCACCGTGAAGGTCCAACGTCCAAGTACATCAATTTGGACTTTGTCCTTGGCTCTGCTGCTGAGGTTGAGCGGCTCTGGAGTTTGGCTAAGTATGTACTCATCAATCAACGCAAATCTATGACGCCCACCCTTTTTGAGTGCTTGATGTACCTCAAGTACAACCGTGGCTATTGGAACAAAGCTATGGTTGCCGAGGCCTACAGGCGCGCTAGAGAGCAGCAGAGTGATGCCAGGTTTGCCAAATGGTCAGCCCAAGCCGAGGAAGAGCTCCAGGCAGCAGTTGCTGCTTTGGGTGCACTGGCTCTGACCGGTGGCGAGTAGAATCCTTGCGTAGTAGCTAAATAGTACTAAAAATGCAGGTATTGAAACTAGGTATTGTTGGTATTGTAGCTAGAGAACCCAATTTGGTATTGGGATGAAAGCTTGAGGTCAATACAATTCTAGTACTTTTTGCCATTTTCACCAATACAATACAATACGAATTGAACCAAGCCCTGGCCAAGACCTCCATCTGAAACATTTATTTTGAGATGCTCATTTTTAAAATGGTTTAGTGCGTGTACACTTACTGCTGCTCTGCTGTTACATGTGAGAGGGCTGGAGAATGCGCTTCCAATGGAACCTCTAGTGTGCTAGCTAGAGTAGTCCCAGTACCCTAAAAGAACGGATGCTCAATTTCAAACGATGGTACAGTACCACAGTAAGATGATACTCGGCTCGTGAATCAGCCCACGAACCTTTGACCAGAATTGAGATGCTCAAAGTGTTAGCCAGGACATCGTGACCTCATTGGCTTCTCGAGAGGTGAGGCTTATTTATGTGTTGCTGAGGATGTGAGAAAGGTGTTGGTGATTTGTTTTGGATTTTTGGTTTGAAAACTGCTTGCGGACCCATGTACCGGTCCATGTACCGGCCGGTACGAGACTGGAGAGAGTTGCTCGACGAAAACCCAGGTACTGGTACCGCAGCAGCAGCAACCTCCAACTTTGACCTCACCCGGCCAGAAACTCTCACAATTTGAAAGTCCAAAGACATCAAAACAGAAGGAACGAACAGCAAACAACAACTACTGCTGCTAATACTACTAGCGCTACTACTTTGTTGCTTTTCATCACACATTTCATCAAGCTCGCCACCATGTTCACCAAGCTATCTCTCATTGCTCTTGGCCTCCTTGGTAGCCTGTCTCCCACAAGGGCTGCTACACCTGTTACGTACACTTCGGATGCTGCCAACAGTAACTTACGAATTCCACTGGATCCCGCACGCACCGATGGACCAACCGTCTCTAACATTTTTGTGGATGCAACCTTTGACATCTGTGACGTCGACATTTCAGTGGACATCACCCACACTTGGACTTCTGGCTTGCTGTTTGACATCAAGCTTGATGTCGATGGACCAGACCCAACAACTGACCCTGTTGATATGATTCGGCTTCAGCATGATGATTGTGGTGGTAGCGAAGATCTTGTTGTTCTTTTTGATGACTCGAGTGAAAACAGTATTGATGGTGCTGGTATCTTCGAACCACTTTGTCATGATGATGGAGTAGACGTTCAGCCAGAAGAGTCTCTCTCTACTTTCAATGGGCACCAATCAACAGGTTACTGGACGCTTCACATCAATGATGATGTTGATGGTGACGAAAGAGTACTTAATTCTTGGTCTGTTATCCTCACTCCTTGTGAACCAATCACTGATGGAGCTGGCACAGGTGACCCCCACTTCAAGACTTGGGTTGGAGAGTGGTTTGATTTCCATGGAGAATGTGACTTGGTCTTTATCGACAGCCCCAAGTTTGGACATGGAACTGGATTGGCGATCCACATTCGAACCAAGGCTCGCTACCAGTACTCTTTCATTGAGTCTGCTGCTGTTCAAATTGGAGACAGCGTCTTGGAGGTTGGTGAATATGGTAACTACATGTTGGATGGCGTCTCCAATGCAGAGCTTGAAAAGATGGATGACAAGTACCCTGTCACCCACAAGAAGGTCAACTCCAAGCAACACATCTTCACTGTTGAGCTTGGAGAGGGAAAGCAGATTATTATTCAATCTTTCAAGGACCTGGTCAGTGTCAAGACTGTGGGTGCCAGCCCTGAGGAGTACAGAGGCAGCCAGGGTCTTTTGGGAGAGTTTGGAACTGGCAAGTTGCTTTCCCGCAATGGCACTGTCATGACTGATCCTGATGCCTCTGGCAATGAATGGCAAGTCATTGAAACAGAACCCAAGCTCTTCCAGACAAACAGATTCCCCCAGCACCCAGTGAAATGCAGTATGCCTGGCCCTGAAAGAGAAGGACGCCGCCGTCTGGGTGAATCCACCATTTCCATTTCCATGGAAGCTGCTGAGGAGCCCTGTGAGCACTGGGGAGACTTGAAAGACCAATGTGTCTATGATGTCATGGCTGCTGAGGATTTGGAGCTTGCCGAAGCAGGGGCATTTTAGGCAGCTTTTGAGTGTCTCTGTGCTGGCCTTGCTGCTGATACTGTTGTATCTTTTTAATTATTAATCTAGTCATTGCATATTCTTTTCAAAAGCTGTCGTTCGCAGCCGCAACGGTAGCCTTGGCATCCGCCAAGAGAATCTAGCTAGCTAGGCTTCGGAAAGGCATGCAGAGAGCCAGCTATGAAGCTGTTTGCTTGTGTGACTACATTTATTCTAAAACGATACTGTTGAGAGTGGTTTCTGTGTTGGCCTGATGGTGCTGTTGGAAGCCGCCTTGTTCTGAAGAGGCCAGAGTCCCCCCCCCCTTGAGTTTTCTTCAAGTTGGCACAATAATCTAGATTCAATTGGTTGACAAATACAAGTTGGGGCCGACAGTTGAGAACGGTTTGGCTTCTTCGAACCCCCACCTCTTAGTTGATGTTGTAGCTACTACTGGTGCAGTTTCAGTTTCAACAGCCATCCATTGAGATTATGGTTTCACACGAAGGACACTTTTAGCCACCTGACTTGGATCAATTAGAGTATAGGGAAGCAGGCTCCGAACAAACTGTCTTTCGTACTTAGTGGTATCTTCGGGTCGACCGCCGACACAGAGACTCGTGTGCCGCCATGTCCTCGGTGGCTGGAGTTCACTTTGTTTCCGCTTGACTGATCGCCTCTTGGTGTTTCGTAATACGATAGAATCTTGTTACAAGTCTTGCAACTTCGAGGAAAGCAGGTTCTGGAGCGGAGGTGCAACGACTGACTTCATCGTGCAAGGACAATCTTAGAAGCCCACAAGGAAGGTACGGTACTCGACCCCTCAGTGACATTCTGTACAACAGGCGCACTTGAATTTCTGGTTGCAGCTTGCCTCGAGATCTTTAAGCTTGTCGTACTTCTCTTTCATGTCGCAGAGTTCTCTCGGCATGGTCCCTGTTACGTCAGTATTGAAAATCCGAAAGCTCTCTGTCCGTACAACAAAAGTGAAAAGGGATGAGTTCACATGTCCATCGCCTGCTGAGTAGCTGGCCTCTTGTGACTCCCGTCGCCGCCTTACCAAGTCTCGTCAGTTTTGCCATCTGCGTTGGTATTTTGCCTTTGAAGGCGTTGCTTTCAAGGTACAGATCTTTTAGCTTTGTCAGAGCAGCCAGCTCAGAGGGGAGTTCCCCTTGCAGAAAGTTGTGATTCAGAAAGATGTGGGCCAAGTTTGTCATCCCGCTGAACTGAGAAGGGATTGACCCTATAATTCGGTTGTGGTGCTGGCAACATCCAAAGCAAGTAGAGTGATTGAGCGAAACCAGAGCAGAATGGTGGACTCTCGTCGTAGATTAGTATTGTCTCGTGCGGCTTACCATACCCAGCGCCTCCAGATCTGTCATTTCTCCCCACTCTGGCGGCAGCTTTCCGGCTAGCTTGTTTGCGTCCACCGTGAGCCTCCCTACAGATAGAGCGATTTTTTCCGACAGGTGTCAGCTAGGCTTCATTTACGACATCCAGTCACAACTCGACGCGGATACGTACGTAAGCTCGTAAGATACCGAAACGTCGTTGGGAGTGCACCAGTGAAAATATTGTTGTGCAGCTCCAAATCGGCTGAAATGACGTTCAGCAGCAAAAGTGAGCCAAAAAAAACGGCGTTGTCAGACACAGACGAAACGGCATTCGTAGCACTTACTCAACGTTCGCAAGTCGTCAAAGATCTCTGGAATTTTGCCCGTCATGAGGTTGTTCCCCAGATACAACAACTCTGCGGTAGAAATTCAGGCAAAAACAGGTCATAATAAGCGGTCAGTCACAAATCACAAGCACCACCACGACAAAAGCCAGCCAATCCTGGCCCATGGATTGCTTACGGAGTTTTTTGTTGGTGGCCATTTCGGGAAGAATCGTTCCGGTCAGTTTATTCAAATTCAGCCTCAGATCATCTATCATAGTACGAAACAACAAGACAACTGTAAGAAATGATGAAGAAGCAAAAAGAAACAAATATCGTACTGGTGAAAGAGACTTACGAAGATTGGTCAGTTTTGCAATCGAGAACGGCATGGCACTTGTCAAGCTGTTGTTTTGCAGGTTGAGATGATCTGAGGGGGACGGACGGACGATCGTAGCGTGTGAGTGAGTGAGTGAGTCACAACTACGGTACATGGATTCGTGGATGTCTCTTTTTTCCCTCTTTGTTTTCCGTGTGTGTGCGTGTGTGTTTGTACTTACTCAACCCCGCGAGTCCGGACAAATCCGGGATGGACCCAGCCAATTGGTTATCTTCCAAAAAGAGTCCCTTCAAGTTGGATAATTTGGCAATGGACGAGGGTATGGTCCCTTCGAGATTGTTGTGGTGTAGATAAATTTCGTAGGCTCCCTCCATCATACCAATATGCGTCGGAATACTCCCCGACAATTGATTTTTTTGTAGCATCAAGTAAGTGATTTGGAACATGCGACATACGGATGCGGGGATGGTTCCCGATAGTTGATTGTCCGATAGATCGAGCAATACCATGTTGCTGAGTGATTTGATTTCTAGTGGAATGGTCCCTTGCATTTGATTGTTTGTGAGATTGAAATGCACGACATCCTTGTGATTGTTTCGCGTGTCGACGGCTTCGCACTCGACGCCGTACCAGTCGCACACACTGGCTTTGGACATCCATTTGGTATCGCGTTTCCATCCGGAATCAATGGTTGCGACCGTTCCACTGGAATGTTGCGAAGCGGCATCCGGGTGTGTGGCATAATAAAAACTGGCGAGTGCAAATCGTGCGAGTATTTCATCGTGATCGGCGGGTAATTTGGCAGCGTCGGTTTTGCAGAGCCACCGCAGCGCATGATAGGCACTGGTGGACTGATCGGATAGATATTCCGTGTGTGAGGCACTGTTGAGTAATAGAAACGTCTTGATATCGTCACATCGATTACCCGTTTTGACAAATCCCTTGGCAGTACTACTATCGTCCGTGTCAGTCGTCGTCAAGAAAGATACCGATACAGAGAGAAAGACGCCAAAGGAGATGAATGCAAAGAGAATGACGAATCTTCCCAAAACACTTTGTTGCCATGTGGTATGTACGGATCCTCTTCCTTTGGCATTTCCAGATCCCGTGGTGGTTCCAGCCCCACCCAAAAAGATATCGACAAAGGATGTTTTTGTCTTGCTGGGCGAAGGAGTATACGTCTCTGTGGCGGGATCCATGAGATTGACCGACTGATCGACCGAGTACAATTCGTGTTGGTTAAAGAGAGAGCTGGTTCCTGTGGAGGACGTCCCCCTTGGTCCAATTTGAATGGTAGATGGATGCATGGGTGTACCATTGACGTAATCTTCTTCTTCTCCCGATAAAAAGCGCCGTGCTTCGACCGAACTATTCGAGAGGACCGACGTACTATGAGACGATGTATTTCGGGACCGTAATCCGGATGTCGTCGTCGGAGCTGCCACGACAGGCTCCAGTTGCATGGCAGGAGTAGTCCCTCGGGCAGCCGCTTCCATCATTTCCATTTGTTGCATCCGAGATTGCCGCCGTTCTTCCTTGGGCTTGGCAGGGGTGCTACTGCTGCTGTCTCGACTCACATTGCTGGCACCACTGTTCGTGCGACTGGGGCCGCCTTTGGTCGGGTTGGCGGGTGGCGGAATCATCTATCTATCTGGCTGTCTGTCTTTTAATAATAATAAATAATTGAGGCGGAAGTAATTGCTTGTTGGCGGAGTTGAGTACGTGTTGCTGCTGGTTGTTGCTGTTGTTGGGTTGGATCGTTGGATCGATGGATAATATGCTACCCAGACTTAACTTGATTGACTCTTCGGGTAGCCCTGACTATAGCTAATACTGGTATACCTTCGGGTGCTTGCTCTTTGCTACCTCCGAAGATCCCCTGCTCGTTCGTACAGTCTCAGGGAAGATAGATATTATCTGAAGCAAAAGGTACCGGTATCGGAGGATCTAGATCGCTACCACGAGAGCTCTCGGGGGAAGCAAGTGAATGGCTGTTGTAGCCAAACACGTTCGTTGTTGGATGGAACGTTGGAACTTTTTAAAAGAACGCGATCCTTTATTTACGAAGAAACACAGCTAGGAATCTGGGCAACACCAGGTACTACTCTCTAGAAGCCACAATGACTCTATGACTAACCTACCAGAAGATACAGGTAAAAGTGTACGGTATACCAGAGTTCGCATAAAAGGATCTTTTGGTTTATTAGGAAACGGTCATTTCAGGCGCCAAGTTTCTACGGTGACGTGCATCATTGCCGGAGTAGTCCAGATCCAGTACCAAGCAACAGGAACAGGAAGAAGAGGGCGACAACTGGCGGATAGCGGATGCTGCAATTGATTTTGCTGATCCAACAACATCGATCAACCCTCAACACCATCACCAGTGCTGCATGGTAGTAAAGATAGATAAGAATAAGTGAAAATGGTGCGTTGTTGGTATCTTGTTGGAATGGGAGGACTGATGATACATGCTAAAGAACTGAACAATTTGCTTGCACTTACTTGACCGTTCATTGGGGGTATCTATGTATATCCATTGCGATTCGATTCGATTCGACCCAATGATACGGTACATACGACCATGACATGAATAGCCCAAAGCTTGCTCGGAAGCAGCATTGAGTCTTCTCACATGCATGGAAAAGACAGAGTGTGTCAAGAAGGGGACCCCCTTGATCGAATGCATGAAGGATGAAATTGCCAGTGATCCATGTCGCGCACAACGGAATGCCTATTACACCTGCAAACACTCACAGTTGAACATGAGGACCAGAATTCGAGGAGTTCGAGTTTACTAAAACGACTAGCAAGATAGATAGAATGAAGACAGATCTGATAGTTAGTTACGAAAGATTTGTATATTGTCTGGATTTGCAATGTTGTCTGAAATGCTACAGTATTGTACCTTGCAGGGCCATCTCTTCATTCCTATCTCACGGCTCCCCAGCTAGCTAGATAATTCCAAGGAATCAGCCAAAAATGGGGACGTGCTACTAGTATCCACAAGTTCAATCTATTTCAGCCAACCATTCAGAAAGGACTTGGGCAGTCAATCAGTAGCTTGCTTCAAACGCGTAAATCGGGAATCTAAAAGAAAACACAAATCAACTACATTGTCTTATGTGTAGTATCGTATGTAGTACAGCGATCCATCGCAGAAGCTATCGTGCGGGTTCGTAGAGTCAGCCCCCAACCATATCTACCGTACATGCCCAGCTCAACCTTGAGCGAGCTTTTTCCACTTGCCGACTCGACTCAATCGGAAAGTGGCAGTGCAGACATTCTAATGGCACTTGGTGCAACAGGAACAAACAATGTCGTCGCTTTGGCAGTCACACTCCAACAAAGTCAGTCCTTCATTTTCGGTCAGATCACAAATCTCGGATGGCATGGTTCCCGTCAAGATTGTATCCGAAAGGTCCAGTCGTTCTACAAGTAGATTGAGAAGCGTAACGATGAACAGATCAAACCATGAGGATCCGAGCAGTGCCAGTAATCTTCCCGCACACTCAACTACCCCACGTACCTAGTTTCTTGAGCTTTCCGAGCTGCGTTGGAACCGCCCCCTTGAATGCATTGCGTTGCAAATCCAAGCTCTTCAATCGTGTCAGGGAACCCAAGTTGGACGGGATCTCGTGCTGGAGAAAGTTGTGGCCAAGCCCCAAGTTGCGAAGGCTTGTCATTTTGCCAAACTCCGAAGGGATCTCGCCCCTGAGTTCATTGTGATGCTGTTGGTTGGTTCGTGGATTAGAGGAGAGAGGAACCATCCGCGTGAGTTCTTGACTGTTGTCATTTCAAAAAGCCAAACTGCAAACTAATAACTGTGAACGTACCAACTCCAGCGCTTCGAGCTCTGTCAGTTGTCCCCACTCAGTCGGAAGTTTACCCGTGATGACGTTTCCCTCCAGAGTCAGTCGACCTGTTATTAGTGATAGAACATGCAGACATGCATTGTTGTTAGAGGTGAATCAAATTAGAACTACATGATGGACCAGCCAGGGAGCCCGCCCGTGTTGCACTCACGTAAACCCGTCACGAGACCAATGGTTGTCGGAAGAGTACTCTTCAACTTGTTGCCATGGAGCTGGAGATCGGCTATAAACGAAACGATAGTTGAGACGGAAGCATGAGCGGAGACAAGTACAACACACAATAGGACTCCAATACGCGCAACAGGAGTACGTACTGAGAGTGTCCATCCTGTCAAACATCTCTGGAATCGTTCCTGAGAGCAGGTTGTTTGCCAAATACAAAAGCCGCAATTTTCCGTCACTAGCCATCTCAGTTGGGATATGACCAGTGATCTGGTTGTTGTCCAACTTGAGGTCGTCTGCAGTGAGCAACAACGTCGATTGAGTTGAGTTAGTTGTGAGATGAACATTATTGAAAGTCAGAAACCAAACCAAGACTCCACCATACGAGGACTGAACTGAATGAACACTTACGCAGCATGGACAATTCACCAACCGACAGCGGAATCGACCCAGAGAACTGGTTATTGTTCAAATGTATGTGGACTGCATGCAACGAAGAATGAACAATGGTTAGACAGACAAAAGAAGGAGCGACAAGCCTTCAACCAAAACTCCCTCCCCTTTGACTTACTGGTATCCTTCAAACCCGACAGATCGGGGAGATGTCCTTCGAGCTGATTCTGTTCCAGAAGAAGCGCTCGAAGCGAACTGAGCTTGCCAATGGAACGGGGGACACGCCCCTGGAGTTTGTTGAATGCCAAGTAGAGTTCATAAATGTCGGGTAGATTCCCTAGCGATGCCGGGATTCTGCCCGTCAGCTCATTGTGCTGCAACAAGAGATACTTGAGTGGCGTCAACAATGCCAGCTGCGAGGGGATGGTCCCCGACAATTCATTAAAGGACAAATCCAATACGACCAAGTGGGTGAGAGATTGGAGTTCGATTGGAATGGCTCCTTGAATCTGATTGCGTGTCACATTCAAGTGCACCACGTGTGTTTCTTGTCCTCCCCCGCTCTCGCAATCAATGCCATACCAATCACAGACACTGGATTCGGTCATCCAACGATCGGCTCGTTTCCAGCGCGTGGTTGTGGAATAAGCAGTAGTAGTGGTAGCGGTTGTGGTGTCCTCTTCTTGTATCTGTCGACCGGTACTGACCGTGGACCGATGTTTGGTGGCGTCATTGGTGGCATAGAACAGGCTCGCCAAGGCAAAACGAGGAAGGAGTTGTGGATCGGCGGGCGTCAACTTGGCGGGATCGTCATCAGTGAGCCAACGAAGGGCGTGAAAGGCACTGGACGAAGAATCTTGCAATCGGTTTGCCGTGGTGGCCTTTTGTCCCAATACCATGCTCTTGAGATGATCGAATCGGACGAGATCTTGTACGCTGGTATCGTGATCAATGGTCCCCGCGGGTTGCATTTCCGCCTGATCTTGCGCTTCCTTGTGTCCCGTATCGGGCTTGTCGTCGTCATTGTCATTGCTCTGCGTGGAGGTGCTGGTCAATAGAAATGGAACGGAAAGAGTAAAGAGTCCCATAAAGGCGAGAAAGAAGAGGACAATGAGAAGTTTTCCTCCAATGGTGGATCTCCAACTAGTGTTATTGGATCCTCTGCCTTTGGAATTTCCAGATCCATTTGCACTGCTACCCAAGAAAATGTCGACAAAGGCATTGGATGTTCGTTTGTCACTGCCGATGTTATTGTGGCTGGACCCTCGTCGATTGTATTCGTTAAAATGGTATCGTTGACTGGACGCATCCATGAGATTGACGGATTGGTCGACTTGGTATTTTTCTCGCTGAGAGAAAAAGTTTCCACCCGAATTGGTTGGGGAAAGGGTGCGAGTGGGAATGGCCGTCATGGAAGAGAGATAATCTCCCGAGAGCAATTCCGATTGTTCAAAGGAAGTAGTTCCTGGTGGTGGTGTTGCCGCGAGGGTGGGTGGCACAAAGGCCGTGGTAGGTGGTGGACTATTACTTCGACTTCTACTATTACTTCTACTAGTAATAGTAGAGGTAGTAGCAGCAGGAGGTGGCAATGACTCTGGTTCGGGGGTAGTGGCATCGGGTTGAGGAGTAGTGGCATCAGGAGGCGGATTAGTCTCTCCCACATCCAGAGTCAAGGCAGGTGCCGTTCCTCTGGCTGCCGCCTCCATCTGCTCCATTTGTTCAAAGCGGTTTTTCCGCTTGTCGCCCTTGCTGAGAGTGCGCTTCATCTTCGATTCGATTCTCAAATAAATGAATGAATGACTCACTGAAAGAATCGATCTATATTATGAAGGGGTATCTTGTAGCTAATAACAAGGCTAACGGTGTTCTCGTCCCTTATCTCTCAATACAGATAATCAACAGATAGTTGAGGGTAGAAGATGGGAAGAGGATAAAAGAAGAAGAGCTACCTGCTGGCATAGATAGTAGTACCGGTACCAGTAGCGAAGGGGTATCAATTGCGACCAGTGCGCCAAACTCATCAACCAAGCAAAGAGCAAGCGACAGAGATCGTAGAAAAAGTGAGACCGAGAGATTTTCTGTTGGACAAAAGTTTACAGTACCGTTGCCGTCGGTGACTGGAGACAACCAGTCAGGATAAGAGTTAGATGGGGTATTTTATGAATAGTATTAGGGAAATCTCAAGCTCACTCTACCTCATTCTTCATCTACCATGACCCCAGTCATCAGAAACTGGCACTCAGTAGTTTGGTGTAGGGAGAGGCTTACCAGCATCTCACGTCATCAGATGCCTCAAGCAGCCCAAAAAGCTTTCGGTATTCTGTCTAACTGTAGGTTGGTCTGTACCAGTGTCATCGAGAGGAGAGCCGAGGGAAGCCAATTTAATAATGACCCCTTCTTTGTTCCTTGCGAATGCGCAGTCGACAGTCATGCTACCGGTATGATTGGGACTGGAATGGAAAATGTTGGTGAGTCACAGTCGACAGTCGGCCATGGCCATCCAAAAGAAGATCTGATGGACTGATACGATGGCAACACTAAAGGAAGACCACTGACCGTACCAGTAACGCAACCCAACTAACGCCATCCAACTAACTCTACCTCAAGCTAGCTAAACAGATAATGGCAGCCTCCGCTCGAAGCCGCGTCTTTTCGGCGTACCGTCGGTTGTTCCGCGCCAGAGCCAAACTCTTTCAAGCCGACACGGAAGCCATGCGAGAATCCGCCGCTGCCATTCGAATACAGTTCCTGCAAAACAAGACGGCGCCTACCAGTGGACCGCATTTTGAAGGATTGTTGACCATGGCCGATGAAGCCGAAGACATGCTCCTCACGGGATTTGTACAGGGCAAATTAAATGACGATGGACACTATCATGTCGCCATCAAACCAGAACACACGGGAGATGCCGACAATATGGCCACCGTGCCACAATTGGAACCTGTCACGGACCAAACTGTGGAGAGATTGCAGAATAATCCGTCCGGTGTGGAGGTGGAAAAAACCTGTAGTCACAGTCAAACAACATCACCTTCACCCAAATGATTTTGAAATAGACAGACAACAATGAACAAAGTACTGTAGTGAGCTTGAATGGGTAACTATGGCTGATTTAATTATTCATTTGACTGCAGGAAGATGGCAACGTGGGATTGCCTCGTCAGACGCCATAGAAAACAATTTCACCTAAGGTAGCCAAGAGATCTTCTATAGCTATACAGGTACCGGTATCCAGCTGCTAGCTCCAGCTTTGGCAGGGAATCCATACGTTCTGAGCTACTGAACCCCACAAAAATACATGCAGATTGTTTTGATGCAAGCGTTTGCTTCTTTCTACAGTACCGTACTCAGTACCATTCATCTCACGCAGCCAATCAATGATCAGAACACTTCACCAGCCACCACGAAATGATCTGTTTGCCCTGATTTTCCCTTGGATTTGATGCTAAATTCCCCTGGACCTTGTACATCCGTAAAGAGGATGCCCTGAATTGGCACGGGAGTGCCCTCTGACCCTCTTAGTTTGGAACCATCCACGGATGCGTCGGCCACTTTTTGCCCGCCCTTCCATAACTCAAACCCGGCACCCACTGCCGATCGGGTGTACACGGTAAACGTGGCTGTTTCCTCGGTCGTCAAGGAAAATGCCATGGACGCATTATTCGTCCGCTGCGTAATACTAAACAGCTTGACAACTTGTCGTTTGGCTGCACTCCCCACATTTTGTTTGTTCATGACGTCTTCAAAGGAGTCTCCCGTGCCTCCATAGTCGGACAACAATTCGCTCTTGTCGATGCGTTCCATCATCCATTCAATCCCTTCCTTTTCGCTGGAAAACATGACCACTTTGCTGGCCGTTCGTGGATCCAACATGGTTTTGATGACTCGCCAGGCAAACGTAAAGAATCGTGGTGCATTCAGAATCACCATCGAGTTGAGAACCTGTGCGTGCGTCAATTTGAGTGGATGAGTCTGGTTCGATGGTGCCGCAGTCAATCAAGCAGGTATCAATAGTTTGCGTACCTCTGGAAAACACTTGTTGACGTTGATCAGATTCTGCAAGCATTCCAACGTTCGTTTGTTGAGTGCCGACGCATTGAGCCCCTTCAAATCCACTACTTGAATCGCTTCGCATCTGTCCAAGAGGATTATTGTAAAAGGGAAAAGTGTGCAACAAATTGAGTCTCTACATGAGCGTACCGTGTGATTCGATTCGATTCATTCTCCTACATCATACCGGTAGTACACACCTGACCACATTGGGATTCATTTGTTGTGCCCTGGCCACTTGTGCCTTGAATTTGTGTAAAATGGCAAACCACGCATACTTTTCAATGCGACTTAGTTCTGTCACACATTCAATGCCTTCGATACTGAGATCCCGTGCCTTGGCATATGCCACGGGGGCCCCATTTTTGGCACACCCCGCGTACAAGGTGGGCAATTGCGACAGCAACACATTGACGGGCGCCCCTAGTGCCTCGTTGGGATCTGGAAAGTAATCATGCTTCCGTGCTTCCCTCCAGATATCAAAAGTGTCGGCAATCATGTCCATGACCTTGTCGACGTTGAATTGTCGTGCTCTCAAAAACCGGCAGAGTGCATATGGCTCGGTTTCGACGGGATTGTAAATGCGAACGACTTCTTCCCAGATACTCCCCTCCGGACTGGCTCGTTTTCGTTTTTTGAGTTCGGCTCGAAATTGTTGACACGCGTTTAGCTCTTGTGGCGTTAAATTTCCCGGATACCCGGCCAATGCCACATTGACCCGTGGTTTGGTGAGTTCCTTGAGCAACAAGGAATTGGGGTCTTCCATGGAGAGTGATCCTCGCGGGCGTGGATCGGCCACTTGGGCGGGAGCGTAGGGCATTTCCTCGGATTGGTTGTTGTTGTTGTGATCTTGATCCAGGGCATCGTAGTAGAGGGATTCATCCCCTCCATTGGCCATGACAACGGCTTCTTCAAATTCCTTGAGAGCGGCCAGCTCGTCTTCTCCCAAAAAATCTCGAGCGGAAACGTAGACTGAATGTCCCCGTCTGTTGTCCATGGATGGTCTGCCATTATCTTTGTGACCCTCAGGCATTGCTCTGGCGGTATTTCCTCCATTCTTAGTAGTAGTATTTTTGCCGGAAGAAGAATAGGACAGGCAGCAAAACCACGAGACAGAAGGTTCCACTTCGTCATCCTCTGAAATTGCTTCCATGGTCGACGACATGATATGATCAACGAGGACTAGCTACTAGTAGTAGTTTATGATACCCCGACTAGCTAGCTAGCTACAGGTCGTAGCCAGTCTCCTGGGCTCTGTTTGGGCGCCAAAGGAATAATGAACTCTTCTGGTCTGGTCGATCAGGGTAAACAGAACATTCCCAGACCGTGGCCATGTAGGATACAAAGATTCGATTCGATTCGATTCAAAGATTCGATTCCGCTTCTTCCGCTTGCTTCCAACCATCAAGCCAAGATCTTTTGTGGCGATCTTTCGGAGTCCAATAGCTCATTATCTTTGACTACCGTTTCCAATATTTGGGGGTACGTCATAGATCTGGCCTCACAAATTTTTGACAGGTGTCAAACCAACCCAAGCAAGAGGGTATCCTGATCTTTGATACCATCATCCATCATCCTCCACTTTGCTCATCAAGGTACACACTTTATTGCCAGCTCTAGCTAGACCAAATAACTGCGAACCACAAGCCAAATAATGATGATGACTCTCCGTGTTGCCACTGGGTTGCTTTGTTTGCTCAGCGTCGCGGCGTTCGCGCCTCGATCTCTGGCCCCCAAGCCTTCGGCCCTGTCGTCTTGCGCCAAAAATGAGAATGACACACTCTGGAATGTCATTGCCAAGTCGTTGGCCATTGGAATGATTGCGGGATCGACAATGCTGGGAGGTGGCCCACTTCCAACCGTAACGCCACCGGTGGCGTCGGCCGCAGAGAGTAGGATTATTGGGGAACTCAAAGGCAGTGGATTGGTGTTCAAGGTACTACCGTACTTACTGTTTATGAACTGGCAATTACTGCTGGCGGAATATCAGAGCATGCATGCTCTGGATGTTGGAGATGTTTTACTCACGGAACCCTTTTTGACTTACTTGCTCTGGGCATCAGGATACCCTGGAGATTGAGTCCTTTGAAGATCCCAAAGTGAGTGTGAATTTGAACCACCTGGAAGCTAATCTTTCAAAGTGCTGGTCATGACTTATCCTGTCTTTTCCACTCTTTAAAATCAATGCAGGTAAAAGGAGTGACACTTTATGTATCCAACTTTCAACGACCTCTTACAGAAAGGTATCGTACCCAAAATGGTGGGAAGTGAGAGAAACATTGGCGTGGAACAAACACAGCCTCACCCTTCTCTCCACAATTAATTGTGATGATGCTTTGACAATGACGAATGAATGAATAGGCTTCAGAAGGAGTAAGTTTCCCATTGGATTGTCCCGCCTGCCTACCTACCAAACTTTCATCCGTGACACATCCAGCCTCACGACGTGTCCGTTTTTGCAACTTTTAGCTTCTTTTCCGATCCAAGTTCGGCAGCAGTAGGTTGTGCCAAAACTGGGCCTGTCCAAGTTGCCGACAATATTGTTGTCGGGAAGGAGGGAGAGGTGCGTGCCGTGCAATGCAGTTGACTTGAAATTGTGTGAATTGAATCATGGTTCTCCTGGTTAGCAGTCCTCAACGTTCCATACACTCTTCTTCTAAAGGAGGTCTTCAAAGAATCCAAATCGCTACTCTTCAAATCCCTCCGGGTCCAACGAATCTATGACAAGGAAAAGAACACCGTGGTATATGTTTCTTTCAATACTCGACTCGACAAAAATGATGATAGCAACAAATCGAGGTTTAAGAGCTCTATATGTGCCGTCGGCTTGGAGGAGGTTGGAAGCAATGCTGTCGCGTCGGCTCAGGCAGCAGCGGCGGTGGCGGCTCCATAGTTCCAGCCATGAGAGCAATCCTCGTGCCTCTCTTTACCGCCTAGCTAGCCAGTCATCCAAGCACAAACACACCAATCTACTTTCCTAGCGAGCTGCTAGACAGTGCGAAGTAAAATCCAGTCCTTCCTCGTCTCCGGTAGCTACAAGCAAAAATAAAAGTTGATTACGATGTTTCAATATTCGAAAATTGTACTGTATGTAAATGATTGCAAAATTCATGTCTCAAAAATGCACACACCAAGACCTATGCGCCGAAGGTGTCTCAATCGTACCGGTACCCCAAAACCGCCTACCGTCGTTTCAATGATTCCAAATGAAACGACCTAAGAGTCATCATCGTCCGAGCTCTGTGGTCTGTTGTTAACAGAATCCTTGATCCTCTTTTCGCGCATGTTCTGACGGTACTTTTCGTAGGCATCAAGGTATTCTTCCTTCACGCCATCCTCTCCTTCCTCGCCGCCTTGAAGAATTCCCTGGGCGGCGCCAACACCACCATAGCTGATATCCAAACCAACCAACTCTTGCACAGATTCGGAGCGGAACCAGCCCATGAAGTTGAGCCACAAGAAAAACGGAAGCATGATCATGAGGCACCAGCCAAAGATGAAGAGCATGCCTAGCACTTGGCATCCCAAGAGGTGGGCACTAACATCACCCCTGCCCAATGAGTACAAGAAACCTGGGTAGTCACTGGTGCCATATGCTTGACGCATGCGCTCTGGTGCAGACAAGAGACCCACTGAAATGAGTCCCCACATTCCGTTGATACCATGCACAGGGATGGCATCCACTGCATCGTCCAGCCTCAGTTTAATCAAAAAGTCAGATCCCCACAAATATAGAGCGCCGGCAACAAAACCAACGAGGAGACCAGCCCAGGGTTCCAATGTGGCACATCCGGCTGTAATCTGTAGATGATGCAAAAGACAAGTAGGTCCCAACGTTAGCGGTGAACTCATCGATCGGTGTCAGGGTGAAACCGTTACACATCGTACGTACCGCAACCAAACCAGACAAAGATCCATTCATTGCGGCCACCAGGTCAAATGTAAATTCACCGCTGTAACGGTAATTCATCATCATCTTGAAAAAGAGAGCAGACATACATCCAGCAGAAGACGCCAAAAAAGTGTTGACAGCACAAAGGGCTCCAATGTCAGCTTGATACGGATTGTCAACCAGCAACAAAGCCGTTCCTGGGTTGAAACCAAACCATCCAAACCAGAGAATGAAACTGGGAGTTGGGAAATGACAAGCATGTAAGAATCTCCAGCTAGAACCTCAGGGACTGCACAACCAAACCATCTTACCTTCCGAGAATTTGCAAGGATACTGAATGGCCAGGGAACGGTTTAGGGACTTCCAGCGGTCTTCCAGTTGTTGCATCATAGAAGCGACCTCTTCTGGACCCCAAAATGTAGGTCGCAAAAAGTGCAGTAGTTCCACCGGTCAGGTGAACAACACCAGATCCAGAAAAGTCTACCAGTCCAATATTCAAGAGAGGGGCAGAGTTTGCAGGGGAGAGGAAGCCTGTGGAAGACCAAGCTGCATGGGCCACCACAGGATAGACAAATCCAGTCAGGACAAAACTATAGCACAGGTAGGCCGCCATCTGGCAACGCTCTGCCAGAGTACCAGCAACAATTGTGACAGAGGCGGCGGAAAAGGTGTATTGGAAGAAGAAAAAGGCGAGGTCGAGTTCCCCTTGGCCAAAAAAGTTCTCGGTCCCCTGTGGTCAAAATGCCGCAGACGCATAAGCACGTAACGAGTAAGTAAGTACAGGTCAGCATACTAATACTCGCCCCTTTTTTCCATGAGACGGATTTGGATACGTACAATGAAAGTGGTCTTGCTCTTGTCTGCATTTGGATTGGTTTCCCCTCCAAAGGCAAAGGCATAGCCCACACAGAAGAAGGCTACAGCTGCCCCACAAGCATCTAGCAAGTTCTTAAGCATTGTGTTCTGCGTATTCTTCCTTCGGACAGATCCAGCACAAAGCATGGCAAATCCTGCCTGCATAAAGAACACTAGTGCTCCACTAAGCAAGGGGGGTGTAACCCATCATCGAACAGAATATGAGATTGCAAGGTTAGCGAATGGGGTATCACGAGCAGAGCCTGCCTACCCAAAGTGACACCAGACCAGAGCAACTCGTACCTGAGCACTAGTAACCACGAATTCAGACCGGACGCAGTGATTTTCTGTTGGCTCTCTAGCTTTTCGGACACACACTGCATGAGTCCCTCCATGTCCCCTTGCTCATGGATGTCAAGGCAAGCCTCGAAAATCCCGGCGCCGCTCATGGTTGCTGTCTACTGATGATATCCTAATACCTAGTCCTCACGTATCGGTAGCAAGGTGCTTTTCGTTTTGTTTGCTTGAGAGAGCGATTGAAGGTGGAAGATTTGGTTGATAATGGTATGTTGACAATGAGTAGTGCACAGCTACCACTTTGCACTGCCAGGCACAACGTGTTGATTCGATTCTTTGGTTGCCCTTCGTGCTGCCAGCTACCAGTCTGGCGCATGTACAGAGGTACCAGTCTCAGTCTGCAGGTGAAAAGGTGTAGACCTGGTACCACCTGTGCCCTCAGCTTCCCGCCAACGCGAGGGAAGCTCGCAATAATGGTCACAAATAGGAGAAAGCCCAATAATCCACGAAAACATTGTGCAGCAGATTCGATTCATCGCGAAGTGTCATAGTGAGCCACCCAGTAAATCTCTGGCTTCGTTGTTAACCCTCTTCTTGAAGTCGATATCCCAGCGACATAACACAGTAAGAAACGAACTGTCATGAATTCGAATCGAATGGACACTGGCAAAAACCGGTCATCGCGAGAGTGACCCCACCTCTTACAGTATGGCATACTGTTGTTGCCAGAACCGTCTGTCAAGAAAAACAGAAAAACACTGGAAAGTGGAAAGAAGAAGCAACGGCGTGGAAGCTCGGCCATCAACTGGGGTTCTTTGCTGAAGACGAAAGGGGGGGACAAACGAAGAGTGGCTTCCGCAATGTGAACTCACTTCTTGGGGGCAAGCCAGCTATCTCATTAGTCCCTCCAAACTCCAAAGAATCCTACCTTGGGAGGAAAAGTGCTTCACGACCCCCGGCAGATTTTGGATGCTGCAGATCGGACCCGAGGAGTCCCAACATCTGAGTTGTAATTGTGGCTTGATCGTTGGTCGCTCTACTAGCTAGCTACCTTCGTTTTAACCACTGGACTTGGACAGGGAAAGTGGCAATGGAGTCGGGGGGCCATACCAGCATTCATTGCAGGGGTCCGGGACCCCAGATTCAACCATGCCTTAGCGGCGACGAAGAATCTCTTGTCATCGCTCAGGGCCAAAGAATATATTGTCGATAAAAGTTGTCGGTTTGTTTCGTGGGGAAAATTTGTATGAATCTAATAAAGTTGTTTGCTGGAACCAACCAATCGGATTTGCATCACTGGTAGCTAGCTTGCTGGGCGAGCATGCTCTCGCCCCCACTAACTATCGCTGTCCGTCCCGGCGTCAGGCTTGGGCTCAGCGCGGCCATCCCGCATGGTTTGTCTGTAACGCTCATAAGCATCCAAATACTCTTCCTTGACATCTTCGTCCTCCCCTTTGAATGCGTCACCATGGTGGCTCGCGCCCAGGTTATAAGCAATATCCAAACCAACCAACTCCTGCACTGATTCGCATCTAAACCATCCCATAAAATTGAGCCATAGAAAGAAAGGCAGCATTGTGACGAGGGTCCAGCCACAGATGAACAGCGTGCCTAGCACTTGGCAACCCAGCAAGCTGGCATCACTGTGTCCCTCTGAGAGTGAATAGAAAAATCCAGGGTGTTCATTTGTTCCATACGCCTGTCGTACACGTTCAGGTGCTGAAAGCAAACCAACACTCAAAAGACCCCAGATCCCTCCAACTCCATGCACTGGGACTGCATCGACGGCGTCATCAATTTTGCACTTGATCAACAGATCTGAGGCCCCTAGATACAATGCTCCTCCAACCAGTCCAACGATGATGGCTGCCCAAGGCTCCACCGTGGCACAACCAGCGGTGATCTGCGGTACGAGACGAATTCAAAAGGAGGCGGAATTGCGAGCCAGCAATGTTATTGTGAACAACCAATACTTTCTTCCCAAGCTAGAGAGGAGACGTCAACTTACCGAAACGAGACCAGTCAGAGCACCGTTCATCGCTGCGACTAGGTCAAAGGAAAACTCTCCAGTTTGTCGATGTCGCAGGAACATCTTGATGACCAGAGCTGATATACAGCCAGCAGAAGAGGCCAAAAATGTATTGACAGCACAGAGGGCCCCAATTTCAGCTTGATAGGGGTTGTCTACCAACAGCAGGGCGGTTCCTGGGTTGAAACCAAACCACCCAAACCAGAGGATGAAACTGAAGTTACAAGAACAGGAGAGAGATCATGGTGAGCCTCGTCAACTAGCTCGGAGTGAAATGCAGTATCTTTCCACTTACCTGCCAAGCATCTGCAGAGAAACTGAGTGACCAGGGAAGGGCTTGGGGACATCAAGGGGCCTTCCAGTTGTGGCATCATAGAAGCGGCCACGTCTTGAACCCAAGATATATGTTGCATAGAGTGCTGTAGTCCCACCTGTGAGGTGCACAATCCCCGATCCCGAAAAGTCAATCATGCCAATACCCAGCAGAGGGTTGGAGTTTGCAGGCGAGAGGAAGCCGTAGTTGGACCAGCCTGCATGAGCGACCACTGGGTAGATGAAGCCAGTGAGGAAGAAGGAGTAGCACAGGTACGCTGCCATTTGACAACGCTCCGCTAGAGTGCCAGCAACAATTGTGACAGATGCGGCTGTGAATGTATATTGAAAGAAGTAGAAAGGAAGATCAATGTCACCAGTCCCCACAAATTGCTCCGCTCCTAGGAATGTGGACCCCGTGCGATTTGGGTCACTTGGACCTCCACCAGATACTCGATCTCCCCCAAAGGCGAAGGCATAGCCGACAAAGAAGAATGCCACAGCCGCCCCACAAGCATCTAGCAAATTTTTGAGCATTGTGTTCTGTGTATTCTTTCTTCGGACAGATCCAGCACAAAGCATGGCAAATCCTGCTTGCATGAAGAAGACTAGTGCCCCACTGGTACAAGGAAACAAAGACCCACCTTGTTAGTTCTACACCTGTTCCACTACTACATCTCGCCTAACAACTCTGAAACCTACCTCAGTACCAACAAATAGCTATTCATATTCTTCGTTGTCAGCGTCTGGCTCGACTCCAGAGTATTGGAGATACACTCCAGCAAGCCCTCCATATCACCTTGGGAAGTCAAATCCAGACAGCTTTCGAATACTCCACTCATGTTGAAGGATAGAAACAATCAACAGGGGCGCGGATCAGAATCAACACTCTAGCTAGACTATGGGCTACTTCAGAATGGTCGCAAGGGTATCGGGCTATCAGTATCGGGTATTGGGAAAACGACAACTCCGGAGATGACAAAAGTAGCGGTGTCGCTTTTTGTAGTTGATTGAATCGAATCATTCCTCGTTGGTACGGTATGGTAAAGGCCCAATCAACGCGAGTGCTGGGGCCACATCGTTGCATCGTTCAAGCAGTCTTTTTTCTATCGCGACAGGCTATTTGTGGACATCGCTTGTACAGTGAGAAGCTGGCCTGATTAGTTGCGTACACTCCAAACTTAGTAATAAGAAATATTAAGCTAGGATATTGCTTGCCATTTCTTAGCCTCTCCTATTTTAGCCATCTCCTAGGGTACTCATTTCTAACAAAACAATCCAATTTCAGCATACCGGTACATAGATTTTTCAATTGTACTTTTAAAAAAGCTATTGAAGGTCTGCAAGGACCTCCTCCCAGACTTCCTGGCCTTCTGGGTCACTTGCTGTAATGTCTTCCACCTCTCCATCCACCAGGGTCACTACATCTCCTACGCCTTGAGCCTCGTCTCTTGGCCCAAGTGAATTGTTGTACCGACAGACTCAAAGGGCCCATCTGGTTGCTCAGAGGTCACGACTTCAGTGGGGGCTGCTGGCTCTACTAGGCTCATGTCCATCAATTGGGGAACCTTAATTGGGAGGAGCTTTGTGCATCCCTGTGGCCGTCCGAGCCATCCAAAGTCAACAGCATGCCAGTTCTTCTCAAAGCAACTACACGAAGTTCATAATTGGCTTCAGCCTCATCATTCAAAGGAAGTCTCCCAGGGGGAGCTGCTTTGGACTCTTCATTGACATTGGCTTCTTGGCCACAGGTGGGGTTTCTTCTTTGCTGCCGCTCATAGCTGGCTAGCTATAGTACATCTCTGAGAACAACAGTGTCTGCAGGAGCTAACCTTGTGACTTTCGTGGCAGGACGAGAGTCATCTCGTGATGCAGTTTCTTGGCTGAGACAGCCACAACACTCGTGCTGTTGCTCAGCTGGGTCCTTTCTTACTGAGCCTCCAGAATCTATCAATCCATGCCAGTGTGAGTAAATAAACGATACTCGATTGCTTTCTTAATAATGAGATATTTCTCATACTCATGTTTGGACCGTACCGGTACAAGCTACCGTACAAGAAAGAAACCAGCAGGAAGCTTGAGTGAAAGAGTGCGTTCAAAAGAACTCTTGATGACCTTTGGTCCAGCTGATGTTCTCACGATCTACTTGGGAATGGTATCTCTCTAGCAAGAAGGGCACAACGAGTCATAGAAAAATAATAAAACAAGCTATAGTAATGATTCGCGGTCCAAGCTGAGGAGTAGTCAGCTCTCTTCAATGGTCACAAAGACGCCACAAGCTCAAAGGCTTTCACATAGGATTTGATTGGCCTATTAATAAACAGATTTAACCACTGAAAGCAGGCGAGAACTAATGTTCCGGAACTTGCGTGAAGCAGGAGAGAGACAAGCCAGCAAGAGTGTTGGAAGGTTGAAGATTCGTACGGTACCTGCTGGGCTGCACGGGGTGTTACAGTGTGAGATCAACCGGTTACCGGCACCAGCAAGCTCCACGTCCCGTACCTAAACTGTAACTGGCCCTGGACGGATGGAGATTGGTTTCATAGAATGGCCCTTGAGGATTCAAGCCTATGGGAAGCATACAGCCAATTTATTTTAGGTGTCTGGGATCACCCAAGGTTTGCCATGATGTGAGTTCGTCCAAGAACGTTAGTCAAGCCTGGCTGGTGGGGAGAAATAATACAAGATCATTGTATCGGTACTCTGTGGGATCCTGCCTGCTATGTAATCCAAATTTGGCAGCACCGCTTGAGGAGAACATGGAGGAGCTTGAGGGAGTATTGGCAAGGCCATCAATATAAGCGCAGTTGTCAACGTGGTCCTGGCGACATCCACAAATCATTGAGAATCTCCTCAAATTAACTTTTGCCTTTTCAGGACTCTTTCGAATAGCCAGCACAAAAGTCTAGCTAATTCCAGCCATGAAGAAGCCAATTTGTCTGTATCCACCAAATGCAACTCAAAGATAGACAGACTGTAGTCTTGGCGAAAAAGCCTCTGGTGCAAACAAGATGATTGGTGGCAATACACCTACAACTTTCAAAAACACATGGATAGGCAAGATGGCACCAACAGCAACAATCCACGTCCAGATAAGAGCAGTTAATGGCACCAAAAATGCTTGAAAAACCTCCTGGAGTGCAAATTTCCAACTGAAACAAAGATTGTTAACAGCTTGATTTCTTGGGGCTTGGAACAGCCTAACTTGGCAGGTAGATTTCCACCTCAACGGTGACAGCAAGAGACAGTTTGACAATCTCACTGTGAATCAAGTGTCTGTTAGTTGGATGCATTTCTGCCGCGCTGGTTGATTGCTGTGTCCATCTATCTGAACGAACCATGATACAATAGGTACCCTCGCCGTTAGTCAACCAGTTTTATTGTTATGCCATTTCTGTAGCCTGGTTGATTGTTGTGTCCAACTGAACAGTGACAACAAAAAGACGCCCTCACAGCGGATTAACGATTTTCGTCTGTTGAAGACTTTGTGACATTGGCGGATTGTCCAGGTGCCCCAAAACTGTGAAATTTTCCATTTTCCCATTCAGGTTGCTCGAGCACAATTTGAAGGCTTTCCAGCAGCTGGGGTACATTAATGTTGGAATGCAGCAGCGCCATGCCATAGATCAAGCGAATGGAAGATGAAGTATCTTGATAGTTTTCTCTTGTGCAACCAGATTGAGCAAGCCTTGGAGGGCCCAAGAAGAGCAAGATACTGCGTCTTCTTTGTTCTTGCTCTGTGATGGGGTGATGGAAACCAATGAAGGAGCACTATTTTCTTTTCTCTTTGTCAGATTCCCTTGTTTTCCAAGGCAAACAAATACATTTTCTTGATTTCAGCAAGAGTGCTGAAAGCACAAAAATCTAAACGAAATTGGTTGCTGTGCCTGATGACGATCGGCATGGGAGGCAGAGATGCGACCTTTTTTTATGATTGTTTTTTGTCTGCGACCGTGGTTGATGATCGCGTCATTTTCCTGCAATTGAAACACTCAATCTCGTCGATGGGAAGCTTGATATAATTAATATCCCTTGATTGCCCAACTATGAGTAGCTCAATCTTCGCCAGCTTGCTGGAAGCAGACTTGCATACCGGTACGACCTTAGCCAGCTGAATAAATTGTGAAGGTTCACAGCGGTGCAATGCACTGGAGTGTTATTTCCAGGGGAGAGCAAGAGGACTTCTTCGAGATTGCCAAGAGACAAGTAAGAAAGAGAAAAAATGTACTCCCTGGTGCTGGAAGCTACCCCACTGTTTCTTCTGAAGGCAAAACGCCGCCAACAAAGCTCCGGTGGCGGTACCGATAAGGACCCAGGGAGATCCCGGTTGATTTTTGCCAGGCAAGCATCGCAGGGTTTATTATCATGCCTGGTCAAAATCCCTTGCAACCACAGGAGGGCGACAGGCGACCACAAAGTTCCCTTCATCCATCCCCAACTCAACTTTCAAGTTGCTTGACACTCTTTCTCTTTCTATTGCACATACTTGCTTACTTGCTCACCGCAGATGCTTGCCAATTGGTTGAATCAATCCATTCTTTCCGATGCCGGGTCAGCCGCAACAAGAAACGTCATCGTCTGTTGAATTAGCCTCGATCCAAGATCCTTGTAAGAAGATCTAAAACAACGAATTTGCAGAGACGACAAGGCCTCTTCGACTGCTTTGGTTGGCTGTTCCAAAGACGGTACACGGTTACAGCCGCGGCATCGCGGTCGAAGAAGATCTTCATTGGTCCTTCCGATAGTGCATTAAATTTTTTTGACAAGAATGAGGAGAATTTTGAAAGCGCCTCTTCACCTCTTCAAGGCTGAACATACATGCAAAGATCTTACAAAATCGCCGCCTGAAGGATCCAAATTTTCAGTCTTGAAGCAAAGCTTACCCCACCTCCGAAACAAGCAAAAGCCAGTCTAGCTGCTAACGACATGCATGTCAAATTACTTGTCCAATCCACTGACTAGCTAGCATACCGGTACATGTACATCGTAGCTAGCGGTATGCCACAGAGGAAGACACAAGAGTGGCTAAGTCAATAATACTAAGTAAATAAACTAAGAAATCTGGGTTATCCTCAGTAGCATTTTTATGTTTCTAATTCTACTGGGAGTATCTTGCCTCTAGCTAGTCTAGCTTGTAGTTTCCAACTTGGTGGGATGACAAATAAATTGAAGCTTATCCACCAGGATACCCACATACCCACCCCACGAGCGAGCGAGCGAGCGTGAGGAAGTTGGGCAAAAATATGATACATGGATCTTATGGCTACAGTGGAACATGTAGTTTCAGTCCGAGCAGTCTCCTTCAAGAGCCTCTCCCCTTTAAAACACCATAATATCATGTGAATTACCGCCTTTACCAGCTAATAAGAATTTTCGCTTCAAAGGCTCTAAAGCATTCTTTACCGGTACCAGTAGGCTCTCAAAAGATATATTGTAGCCAAAAGTTTACAATATCCACAGAAGCAGGCTCTAAAATGTTATAAGGAATTACACTAGACTGGTCTTGTTGAAAGGTTCCGGACAATAACTGTATCTAGAAGCTAGACTATCTGAGTACGTGTACAGCACACATGCACACTGCTGCAGCGACCATAATTCGTAGGCTGTGAGCGCATCTCAGTAATTTCGCAAAGATTTATAAGGTGAGGGTGACATCATGGCACGGGCAATAAGGTTAGCGAGTCCTTCCGAGGTTGAAAACGGAGTTTTCTGAGTCGTCTGAGTCCATCTAGTCAGAGTCAAGTCGTCGTATCAACACTGGCTCGTGGAGCTCATGTATGTAAGTGGTCACGGTTCATTGGCTTATGGATGTCACGGGAGCATGCATAGCTTTTAAAATTTTGGTAGTTAGGAGACTATTAGGGTCACTTAGTGGTATGTTGCTACCGGTATACCCACCTGAAGATACTGCAAGCATGCTATTCTCGTGGGAATTCCCTTACTGTAGCCCTTTCATCGACCATTTCCAAAGTTCCCCCTTTGTTTGGGTATCTGCCGGAAGTACCTTCAACCCCAACAGAATTTGCCCAAGTTCTTTCCTGGTTGGAGACAGTTGTAGAAAGGCGCCAAAGCTTCACTTCCTCGTGAGTTGACGGCACCAAAAAGATGAGCCTATTGTGTGTGACTTGGTACTAAATTCTACTGCAGCTGTGCTACTCAGCAAGCTGCTACAGAAGAAAGAATACATCAAACCTACGAAAGAAGATCCAACCAAGCCAACCAAAGAAAAAATTCATCTCATCCATCCTTCTCATAAAATTTTTCTTTGGTTTCCAACAAGCAACCAAAAAAGGCACACTGTCAAACGATAATTCTCATTGCATCAATTGATCGAAAAAAGAATTCACAATGGCCGAAGAAGAGTTGTTCAACTTCACCGCGTACTGCCTAGAAGTGGAGGAGGGAAGCCAGTCCATCTGTGACTTGTGGGCCGTAAGTTGAACTTTTGTTTTTGATTGGATTGAAAGGCATCCAATGGTCGGCTTTCGTTGGTCTGGGCCCGTGCCGGAAAGAGAGAAGAGACAATGGCGGTCAATCATGTATGCTTAGGACTCGTTACAGTTGGTTTTCTTCTCTTACTCACCTCTTGTCTTTGTTTCTTTCTATACTTCTTCACAGCATGTTGACGCAACCGTATCGGTCCAAGGGGGTATTATTACTGGTGTGGATACCTTCTTCCTCCTCTTTGCTGTAAGTGGCCATGGCTGCCTTCTACCAATCTACCATTGGTTGAATAAACAACGTGAAGGATACCCTTGAGTTATCTCAACCCAATTTGCTCTTTCGATAATTTTCAATAAACAGGGTGCCCTTGTGTTCATGATGCAATCTGGATTTGCCATGCTCTGTGCCGGATCTGTCCGTCAAAAGAATGTCAAGAATATCATGCTTAAGAACTTGTTGGATGCCTGCGGTGGTGCCCTTGGTTTCTACACCATTGGATTTGCCTTTGCCTATGGTGGACAGGTCGATGACAAGAGCTTTATTGGAACTGGTAACTTCTTCCTCACTGATATTACCGAAAACCAAGAATACGCCGGATGGTTCTTCCAGTTCGCCTTTGCCGCCACTGCCGCCACCATCGTTGCAGGAACTGTTGCCGAACGTTGCAAAATGTCTGCCTACCTCTGCTACTCTGTCTTCCTCACTGGATTCGTCTACCCAGTCATTGCCCACTCTATCTGGGCTACTGGAGGATTCCTCACTGCCTTCCGCACTGGATATGATGATCACTTCCGTGGAATGGGTGTCATTGACTTCGCTGGATCTGGTGTTGTTCACATGACTGGAGGAACCACTGCCTTGATTGCTGCCGTTGTTCTTGGACCTCGTCGTGGACGATTCTACGATGAAGACGGAAACCCCTTGGAGACACCCCACCAATTCCAAGCCCACTCTGTTGCCCTTCAAATTCTTGGAACATTCATCCTCTGGTAATTTTTTTTGTTTTGTTGGTCGCACGCTCCACAATAAAAAATCAACACAATTCCTCAACTAAATTTCTTTTTCCCTCTTCAGGTTCGGATGGTACGGATTCAACCCTGGTTCCGCCCTTGTCATTTCCAGCGAAGGATCTGCCCAAGTTGCCGCCCTCTGCGCTGCCACCACGACCATTGCCGCCGCCACTGGATGTGTCACCGCAATGTTCACAGACACCATTATCGACATGATGGCTACAGGTGAAGCTTCTTACGATCTTACCATGGCCATGAACGGAGCTCTTGGAGGACTTGTTGCCATCACTGCCGGATGCTCGGTCGTTCAACCCTATGCTGCCCTTATCATTGGTATGATTGGTGGATGGGTCTACCTTGGTTTCTCCAAACTCTTGATCAAGCTCCGAATTGATGATGCCGTCGATGCCGTTCCTGTTCACTTTGCCAACGGAATGTGGGGTGTCATTGCTGTTGGATTCTTCTCTGATCCAAAACTCCAAGCAATTGCTGGATACAACATCACTTCCTCGGGATTGTTCTACGGAGGAAATGGAGACCTCTTCATCTGCCAAATCGTCGCCGTTGCCTGGATTGTCGCCTGGGTCACTGTTGTCATGACTCCTTTCTTCTTCCTGTTGAAGCTTGCTGGCATGTTCCGTGTCGATCCTTTGGAAGAGGAGGTCGGTCTTGATATCTCCCACCACCGTGGAGCTGCCTACGACTTGACTGGACCCAACAAGGACGATGTCGAGGAACTCATGGAAGTTCGTGCCTCCAAGCACGGAAAGGTCGAGGTTCCCAAGGAAGTTGTCCAGGCTGCCGACGATGCAAATGATGCCTTTGTCACCGAAGAAGTTGCTGCCTAAGCAGTGTTGGAAATCCTCTATCCACCAGGGTCGATACCATCAAGTTTTTTGTGTTGTATATTTTACATGTGGATGATATGCTGCTTTCCCTCTGCGCGGTTCCTTTTTTCCTGTGGTTCAGTGCTATGAAATGAAATTTCTGGGGATGTTCGCTCTTCCGGTGTCCGGAGTGTTTCGGTTTTGAAGTAGTTCGAGTAGGTTAACAACAAGTAGCATCCGATTGCTGGCTTCAAATCATGTTCCTTTGAGCGGCCGTGGCCGAGTAATCGGCCACGGCCTTTCGTCTTCTCTGCTACCGGTAGCCAACGCTCGAGGCCGGTCTCGGCCGCAACTCCAACGCCAACGAGAGGTGTCGAAGAACTGCCTCTCGCATCCCACGCCATCAGCATTCACAGCTCGATTGAACCCTCTCACAGCCGTCCTCCAACCACACAACCCTGCAAGGAGCCGAGAAGGGACGACGCGACTGAGGAGTCACTCGCTTACGAGAATATTTTGCCACCAAGCAAATCAGTTTAGCGGTACGAAGAGCGTAACTGCGACAGTACAGCACACAGTTCTGGTACCGATACAACTGAAAAAGCATCAGACACAACCCCAAGAACAACAACAGTCTGGCTAGAAAATAATTATCTTGCATTGGGTATTATGTGGTTTCGGACATAGCTCGCCATGGCCCAATCATCGCCAGCATCCTGGACAGCCCTGCCAATCAATCTCTTTGCGTCACTGCCTTCAACACCAAGCATCAACGTGGCCAGCATAAACGCATCCTTCTTGGCTTCTCCATATTTCAGGCACTCTACCGCCATTCTTCGAACAAGCTCGGTCTTGCCATGTGCGAGTAGATAAGTGCCAACGCAAACGACAATGCTATGCCCATATTCCTCTGGACCAAAGATACCTCCGGACACGCCTCTACCCATGTCAATTGCGCGGAGGCCTGAAACTCCAAACGTTTCAACGATTTGTTCGAGGCGATCAAGATCCTGATAACGCATGGCAAAATCAATCATGGTTTCGAGCGAGAGCCCAGGCAAATCAATGGCAAGTTCGGGATATCCACGCCGTTCCAAGAACATGGCCAATTCTTCGTGGTCAGAATCGGGTACTGCATCAAACCACTTCACAGCACGGATAGATTGCCCTGCGGCAAGCAAAGATCCGATCCTCAGCAACGGGTGGCTCAAAGGAATGGCAATCAATCCTCTGGTTGTGGAAACAATGAGGCTGCCGCTTTGATAACCCAGAATCACAGGATGATTCAAAGGCATTGGCAGTGTTGGCGGAGTCAATGACGTGTATGCGGTCAAAATTGACGAGCTTGGGATTTGGTGGACAGTTGTGGATGCGATGGTGAGGCTGTCCAGATGGCAGATTCCGCCGCTGGTGTCGCCAAGAAAGACGCATTCAATTGAATTGCGGGTGCAGCAGTAGAGAACCCCGTGCATGAATTTCACACTCATGGCAGCTCCATCTGGATCACCCGGTGACCCGACCCGCACAGTTCCCAGCAAGACGAAATCTGGTTGTTCCGACAAGTAGACTGCAACCCTGGACTGAATCACAACAGCGCACAATTCGCCATCGTCATCCCACACAACCAGATCTGGGTATGGGAGAGAAGGACCTGACGAGACAAACGAAGCCGCGCTGTTGTCTGTCGCTCCCTTCTTCGGCGTATAAAAATATGCCATTCCTTCCTCCTCTTCGGAGCGGCAGCCCACACACAAAACAGGACCTCCAAACAAAACTTGCGGTGGTATCCGATTGCCACCGCGGAGCGCTAGTTCTCCGAGCGTCGATGCTGTCGCGGGGGCAATGCTACTCGTCAGAGCTGACTGATTGGTCTCTACTGGCACCAATTCTTTAAATTCCACATACGCCTTCTTGTCCTTTGAAACGTTGGCATTTGGATCATACATTCCCGGTTGCATCATAGGAGTTGGTGTCATCACTGCGGGTTTTTCATCCAAATCTTCCTCCTCGGTGGCAGTGATGGTGGCAGTTTCGTCGGATCCTTTCTTGCTTTTGCCCGAACGGAACAATCCACCAAAAACCCCACCCGTTTTCTTGACTACTCCAACCGTCTTGCCGGCAGCAGTTCCCACCACATTGGCGGTGGCACCTGCCACTGCGATGGTAGCGCCTGCCGTGATCTTGACAGTCCCCACTCCGACTTTGGTCGCAACCTTGGTTGTGTTCACAGCGAGATCTTTGACGTTCGCGAGATCCTTGAGATTGTTTCCCAAGTTGCGAATATCCGTGATTTCCTTCAGTTTTTGGGCCGACATGGCAGCAAAGTCCTTGCCCTCTCCGGTACCTGGATATGCAGCATCCACATTGGTCCCTCGGCCCAGCTTTTCGGCTTTCGGAGAATGGATGATTGCAAAGACATCGTTTTCTCCCAGCCAGGCAAATGAACTGACACCTGTGCCTGTTGCAACTGCGGCAGAAAAGGATGCCGAGTCCGAGCCGCGCTGTGATACGCGCTGCAAAACACTCGGGACATGCAAGACTTCGTATCTCATTTCCTCGCCCCAAAATAGACAAACATACATGCCTGAAGGGCTCGGCAAAAAGCTGGGTGGCAGCCGAAAGGGTCTCTTTTGCACCTCCAAAGGTAGATGTGTAGCCGCGGGAGATTCATAAACATCATAGAGATTCTTGACTTCCATGCGTCCCACAGGGTTGGCCCGAAAGGCATCGACACTGCCATAGACAATCGTCGAGTGTTTGGTAAATAGTACAGATTTTCCCAAATGCCCTAGACCAGCTCCGAAGTGATTATGACGACTGCCAGGTACGACGAATTCTCGTTCAAAGTCCACCATGACTACTCCCACGTTACTGCCCAGGAGCAGCACGCCCGAATCCCATAGCGGCGCACATCCGACAAAGTACGCTTGCAGAATTGGCGCCGATGCCATGCCAGAATCTCGTTCAATGACGGCTCGTACATTCGTCGATGTAATGGCGCTGGCTTGAACTGTGGCCCCCGTTCCGCTGGTCCCTTGCGTCGTGGCTCCCATAATGTGCAGGTCGCCCTTGCTGGTCACGACAGCACAGACAATGGCATCGTCGGGGAATGCCACATGAGACCACGCGGGAAAGGCGGCCACTTCGGCTTCAAAAGGAAATTGAATGACAAGGGTTGGTTCTGGTTTGTAGACACTGGGTTTGTTGCCGGCTGCATTGTTGCTTTTTTCGGATAGAAGCTTTTCTTCGTGGATATTGGTCAAATCCCAACAGAGAATCTTTTGGGATTGTTTTGACTTTGATGATGGCATGCCCCAAAGAAAGAGGTCACGGTCTGGATCAAATGTGAGTAATTGATGTTCCCAATGATACTGTCCTTCAGCTCCCGCACTTCCGGCTGCTGTATCGAGACCCGTGAGGAGTGCTGGCGACGCTCCTCCCTCAAACCTTGCCAATGGAGGGCGGATATCAATGCCATCGGAGCTGACGACCACTTCAATCAAATAGGCCGTTCCCTTCTTGGTGACGGTAATGAACCGCCTTACTTTGCTGACACTGCTGGTGGATTGCGGGTTGTTGCTGTTCGGATTGTCGCCACTGTTGGGATCCTCCTCTTCGGACAAGGTGGTGGGGGAGGACGACGACGTGTCTCCTGGGTCCTCCAAGGACGGGTACGGATTTGCGGCAATCAACTGTACAATCCAATCATTTTTTCCCAATCCCTTGATGGATTTTTGCAATTTGGATTTTTTCCAATCATAACATTTGAAGGTTCCATCGCCGCATCCCAGCAAGAGTAGTGATTTGGTGAGTGGCAATGCGTTGCTACTCGGAGGTGAGTTCAATCCAGTTTCTTTGGTCAAGTGACAGAGAATGGGCGAATAAAAATTGCGTGCGGCTCGTCCCTTTCCGGGAGGCATGAGTGCCACAGAGGACGGTCCCTTGCGTAGATTGAGCATGACAATGCGCTTGTCAAATTGGACCAGGAGTGTTTGCCATCGCTCCACTCCAGCGACAGTGGCCTGATCTGCTGGATCTGCCATTCCAGAAAAGTAGAGAGTGGATGGGTCAAAGAACTGCATCGATTGGATCTGTCCCAATGTCTTGATGGCATGTGGGAATTTCTTGACGGCATCCTTGGCCATGGGATCGTAGTCAAAGAGCATCGAGGCCATATCCGACAAGTAGACGGACCACAAGACATTGCGCGTCTGCAAATGCTGTACTTGAATCACTTTGATTGGTGCGGGCAGAGGCGTAGCGGGTGATGTTGCTGTTGGCAGCGTCTGATGCTCTTCCATATAGTACGCCACCAAGGGTTGGCTGGGATGAACCGTCAAGAGCTGCATGCGGCCAGGAGGAGTGGGAGGATCTGTGGCGCACGAGGCTGGATCCGCCTTGGCCAAATGAGACCGAACTGCTTCATACGCCACTTCCGTAGGAGTCTCTCCTGTAAACAGGTTCAGAGGGGGTCGCCCCGGTGGAGCTACGATCCGTCGGAGCTTGGGTTGGACCGGCATCTTGATGATGGTAGTTTGGGTTGGTCGATGTGGGTTGTTATGTTGTCGTGCTTGTTGGGCTGGGCTATCTTCATTCTTAACCCTAAGCATCAAGTCTGAAAAGGCTTTTTCAGAACCTCACGGACTTGGACTCAAAGTTGCCAAATTGCCGCTTCACGGGCGTTCCATGTCAACCAAATAAGTCAGCGGGAGCTGCGATACCTCGGCAGAAAGACAAATAGAAGAAAGAGGATCGTGTTGGAGATTGCATCCTTCTTTCAAGGTAGCCCTGGCGACAACACCCGACTTCGTCGTGTGTTGCCGCCCGGTATCATTCCCTCATTATAACCTTCTTTTTTATTTAAGCTAGCCCTGGCGACAACACCCGACTTCGTCGCCCGACTTCGTCGTGTGTTGCCGCCCACTATCATTCCCTCATTGTAACCTTCTGTTTTATATTAATTAAGCTAGCATTGGCGTGCCACGGGCTAACCCATAATTTGCAGCTATCATTCGATCGGGTAACTCTAAATTTACAACTGTGTTTTTGTCCTGAGTGCACTAACCTTAAATTACATTGATATATTCCTACCCCTGACTTTTATTGAACCTTCAATTTCCAGTTTTGCCAGCTTACATTATCTCTATCCTTATACCCTGGCTTCACCGGAATAGGGGATCCCACAGACACAAAATGAGGGGATCCCACAGACAAAAACCAGGGGGATCCCACAGACAGAATATTTGCCATTTTAAGTCAGCGGGAGCTGCGATACCTCGGCAGAAAGACAGATAGAAGAGGATCGCATTTGAGATTGCTGCAATACATGTACAAAGAGGAGAATCTGGAGGATCAGTAGGTAGACCACTGGCTAATACAGTACGTCGACAATGACACAGAAGCATTTCATTTACTGTAGCCGTATTTCTCTACAAGCCCTGCAATATATTTTTCCGCCACCACAAACCCTTGCGAGCACAAATTGCTTTGTCAAGTGATTCTTTAACCCGCTCAAGTTGTAGATCATGATTGTTGCACTATCTTTCCTCTTCTTGCAATTTTCTTTCTATCAACGTATGTTGAAATATGTTGCACTCTGCTTCGTAGAAACCCGGATCCTTCGCATGGAGTTTCTGTTGCCTTTCGTCCCAATCATGCCTTAAGATTGCATGTTCTTTCTTTGCCTGTTCTGTGATGTCTGTAAGCTGAGCTTTCATCCATCCTCCATTTACAGAGGTTTCTAGGTCTTCAACACCACGTAGCTTCTGCAGCTTATGTCGCTCCAACTTCAGCTCAAGCTTTAGCTTGCTTATTTCCAAAGCTCGATCAATCCAGCGCTTTCTTTCTTTGAAATCCTGTGCCTCAGCATCAAAAAATCCTTTGATGAGCGTCTGATCTGTTTCCTTTCTTGATCCTTCATTTTGGCAATCAAATATTCTTCTATAGATTGTTGTTCTCGATGCTTCTGCATGAAGTCTCTTTTGACTTTCAACTCTGTGTGCCGTTCCTCGTCTGTTTGTTGTGCCTGCTTCTTCTGTCTGGATCGCCGATTGGCTTCAATCTTCCTGCGGTAAGCAGGTGTTCCATACTTGACTGGCATGGTTGCTTTGCCGTGACCCGAGTTGGTGCGGTGACAAATGGTCGTTGCCCTCTCGATGGCTGTTGTCAGGGGTCGATGCTTGATGGACGATCGAATGCGTGGCTGCAGCAAAATGTTTAACCTTAACCCTATACCCTGGCTTCACCAAAATGAGGGGGATCCCACAGACACAAAAGAAGGGGGATCCCACAGACACTGCATAGGCCTATTAAAGGGGTAGAGGACTCAGGCAGATAGACTGCCGAGGTTAAAAAGGGGTAGAGGACTCAGGCAGTTAACCTGCCGAGGTTAAATCAGCTTTAGTTAGTACGGGATGTTTGGCAGCATTGAGCTGATGGGACCAACTATGTGGATGCGAAAGTAGATGATGCAGAAGCTGTTCATAAGAAGGATAGAGCTGCTTAAATTTCGAAAAGTCGTTTCATTTACATTTATTTACAATTTTAATTCAAAGAGTTCTAGTATCAGAATGATTTGACGGAGGAAGAGTTTCAAAAACTAGAGTAAGAATGGGTGATGTGTTCATGGTTTTGGGTCGCTGCCATGGCAAGCAGCCATGCAATGCAGTTCCAGTTAGTTGATTGTGTGTTCATGTTCAAAATTCAAATTCGCCCACCAACAACCTTTTCACAGAGGTTGGATAGATCAGTGGTTCCGGAGTGCCAGTACTGGTAGCATCTGTGTCCTCGTCGTCGTCATCCTCATTTTGGTTTTGGCATTCACTTTGCAAAGCACACAGCCATTCCTCAGCCTCATCCTCATTGGTGAAACCGAAAATGTAGTCGCGGCCTTCTGACTGCAAACAGATCATGGCTTTCATGTCGTTTCCTTCTTCTGTGCATGGCAATCGTTCCACACTGCTCCCTGGCTCAATGGTAATCATTCGCTGTGCCGTGTTGGTATTCGAGATCTTGCCCGTTTCAAAGTAAAAGAGACAGCCTGGAGTCAAGAGCATGTACTTGGTCTTCCATCGGAAGGAGGAGAACATGCCCATACCGGACCCCCGCTTTTCCATCCAACCCATTTTGATTACTTCTTGTCGTTTCTCGGGTGACCCCAAGAGTGCTTCTGTGGTCAATCCAAAGTCGGCGGGATTGTTGTCGCTAAAGCTGGAATAGGAACGTCCTTGTCCACGAGGAGGGATCTGTGACAAGGGGATTCCCTCTTGTTTGGCCCTCCATTCGACGTATTCATCTAGATCGAATTGGAAAGTTCCTGCCTTGTCCCATTCTGGCAATATGGATTCTGGATCGACATATCCATCTCGCTTCAAGTGTACAAAGTTTGGCTTTAGCTTGAGTCGACTAAAGACTTCTGCTGACACAAAGGGTTTGATCATTTTGAAGGCACTTGTGACAAAGCCCGGTAGTCCACAAAAGTGCAAGACAGAGAATTGGGATCCTGGAAAGTACGTCTTCATTACGTCAAAGAGTGATCGGACGGCGGAATCTGGGAATCGAAAGGTAGAACACAAGCCCAATCGAAGTGGATTGGCAGTTCGTGACATGACTTCAGTAACAAAGCATACTTCGTCCGGTCGATGATGAGGGAGTCGGTACTTTGCGGCTCGTTGGAGTGCGTATGTCACTTGTTGTTTCAGTTCTTCCTTGTTGCCGTAGATAACACCCATCATCCAGATAATGGGTCGGCCTTCACTGTCCCGCGCCACACCGCCCTTGCCGTCTTCCAAACAGACCAAGCAGGCAGGAGGGATTTTGGTTCCCGAAGGAGCTCGATAAAAGGAAGCAACATCGGCAATGCTCACGGGATTCTCTTCCTTCCATTGACGTGCCGCCAACAGGGCCTTGGCAGCAGCAGGAACTGATCTAGTAAACTGGAGAAAAGAATCCAGTTCCAAATCACTGTAGTTGGCTTTGGTAGACGACGGGGTGAGAGCCTCGAGCTCTTCGTGAAGTAGCGCAATCTTGGCGCGATTCTTCTCCTTGATCTGTGTCATGGTCAATACTGGGTACGTGGAACTGACTAATTGCGTTCTGTTTGATTTTATGAATGATGTCTTACGTTTTTGTGAGACGAGAAGTGAAGCGTTGCATCAATGCAACAGCTCATCAACCAACTCTCAAACCTCAAACTAGCAACACTGTTGAATCCCACGGCAAACTCATCGACCAGCATTTTGTGTGGTTAGCGAAAAATGGTGCCACGTAAGAAAAATGATCGGCGATGCTTACGTTGCATTCCTAAAATGTGCGTGGATTCTCAGCTGTCCCACGGTTGTTAAGAGCAAGCTCGGCAGCGTCACCAGAAACTTTCTCAAAAAACAGCAAAGGCAATTGAGAGTGGAAGGCTGTATCTAACTCTTTGAGAAGCAAGAGTCAGTGGAAATGGTGATGTGCTCTTCCCATTTCTGACGTCAAAAGCAAATTCTGCTTCACCGAACCAAAGGAATTTCACTTCGCCGGGCCAGAGCCGTGTCAACTCGGCCGTGGATCAGGACAGCTATCAGGACCCTCTGAATGCTGACGCCAACGCCAATTCATCAGCAACCCAGGACCACACCCAGCCGCGTACAGGAGCAGCGCTACAAGTTCATTGCTCCACGAATCTATCTTAAGAGCTAGCTAGAAATTTGCCGCGGCAGCAGCCACTCTTGTCAACCATCACTCTGCACAGCAACTAGGCCAGCTGGCCAGTGCACTGCTCAAGAAGTGAATAGCCAACCGCAAAAGTATCCATGACTGCCTATGATACAAATCTGTACATGTAGGCTTTGCTCAAGGATCCATATATATGGATCAGGTTAGCAGCAGGTATCCATGGCTGCCAAAGTCAATTGTCACCCAACCACCTTTTCCCAGGTCTCGACTGGCCACTGTGCTGATCACGACAGCTTTTGGCGTTTTCGGTTGGTTTGCTTGCTGGTGTCGCGCCCCTCCACATCGCGCTGCGCTTTGTCACGCAACACACCCATGCTGCCAGTCTCTTCATCTCCGTCGGCCCATTCCAGGACCAAGTGCCGTCCGTACAAGTGGGTACGAGAGAGTGATTTCATGGCCGCCAGCGCCTCTTTGTGCGTCACAAACTCCACAAACGCAAAACCACGATGCCCTCCATCAAACTTTTTGGGGAGTCGGACGCGTTTCAGCTGACCATAGGAGCCAAACAACTTCAATAGCTCCGTACGAGAGGCCTGGAACGGAACGTTGCGGACGGCCACTTTGGTGGGGTTCTTCGTGTTGGAACGGTTTGGCGCTGCTCGCTGTGTCAGCGACTTGGTGGATGGCTTGAGTTCCAGCGCGTGACCGTCCAAGATAGTACCCTGTAGTTGGGTCAGTGCCTTCTTGGCTCCTTCTTGAGAGCCAAACTCCACAAACCCAAAGCCCATGGATAAGGACTGCATTTCGTCGTCTTTCGTGTTGGATGCCGCACTCCCGATTCGAGGCTTTTTCACGGGAGCCAGCTTGGTCGGAATCCGGACGGCACGAACATCGCCGATTTTGGAGTCAAAGTACTTTTGCAGCCGTTCTTCTGTTGTGGCAAAGTTCAGATTCTTAATGTAGATGGAAGGGGTTGGTCCGTCGATTGTAGGTTGTTCCTCCTCCGTATTGTCCAAGACTTCCTTGCTGCTTGTGGGCGGAGCTTGCTTGACCTTTTCCAATGATGACGAGTTCTCCTCCTCTGGCAATGTCGAGTCCAGGGGAGCCCATTCGAGGTAGATGGGGACACTCTTGAATCGACGATAGGCCAGTTTCCGGAACGCCTTCTTCGCATCCGAGCTGTGACCATACTCTACCAGCGCAATAGTTCGAGATGGGGGCAGCAGCACTCTTTGGGGTGCCTCCCCAACACCACCAAATAGCTTTGTCAGTTCGTCCACATGCGTATCATACGGGAGATTCTTGACCAAAATAGCCTTGTTGCTTCGTTTGTTCGATTGAGCCTCATTTTGTTCCTTGTCGCTACTACTACTACTCTTCATGGACACCAATGCCTCCATGTCAATCCCATGATTTTGAAAGTAGTCACGATTTTCTTCAATGATTTGTGTCTCTGCCAATGCCAAACGAACTGCCGCGTCACCCGAGTTGAGTCCTTCCTTGACATTGAGAACGTCACCCTTTTTGATCCCCAGACGGTCGGCCAAACTATCCACCACGGCATCACCTCGCACAAAACTCGCTGACCATCCTTTGGTGTTCTTGGCAGCATCTTGTTTGCGGGCAAGTTCTTGACGTTCCTTGTACGACAGGTTGGATACATCGGCAATATTAGTAGTATTTTCGCTTGGTTTTTGTCGCGAGGGCAAGATATGAAGAAAGCGTCCTTGAAAGTCTCTTCCATCCAGTTCTTGCAGTGCCACCGCGGCATCTTGTGGTTTGTCAAATGTCACAAAGGCAAAGCCTTTACTAATCTTGCGATCGTCGACGGGAATGTGACACTCGTGGACGGTTCCAAACGACGAAAAGTGTTCTTCCAGCTGCTCTTCCGTGGTGGTGAATGGCACGTTTCTCACAAAAAGACGATTGGATGCAAGTGATTTAGAGGTGGGGTAGTCGTCTGTCTCATCTTCGTTGTCGTCGTTCATGTCATGATGTGTTTTGGAGTCCACGATCTGTCGATTGGCTGAATCTGCCGCTGCTGGGGTATTTTCAGCTTGTGGCTGAGTAGATGCCTCCTCTTCACTGTCATCATCACTGCTGCTGCTGCTGTCACTGTCACTACTCGAATCAGTGTCCGGCTTTTCGGGTTGTGGCTGTGCATTGTCTTCTTCATCATTATCATCGTCGTCTTCTTGTAGATTATCGACGAGGGTTTGTTTGGACTTGAGAAAGTCCAAATCGGACACGACAGCCGATTTCTCCGTGGCATTTTTCAAAGGATCCGCGCTGTCTTGAGAACTATCACTGGCCACACTGTCATCATCGTCGTCGCTGTCACTACTACTGCTGTCATTATCGTCTTGATTGTTGTTGCTGTCCAATGGAAGAGTTTGTGGTTTTTGTTCCGGAACAGCCAAATCATTGGACCAAAATTTGGTTTTGTTTTTGCCTCCCACTCCTGCCAATAACATTTCCTTGGAAGAGGAGGAGTTGGCCGCACGTGATGATTCCTTTTTAGACGATTGTGTTTCCTTGCTGTCATTGTTGTTGTTGTTTTGGGCTGCAGTTTCTTTGCTAGTAGTGATTGCTTTATTTTTGTTCTTTTGGGCACTCTCATCTTTTTGCGTTTGGCTCTTTTTGGGTCCCTTGGCGGGTTCTACCAAAAGTCGCGATGTCAAGGCAAACGTCTGATCAAACAATTGAATCACTTTCTGCGCCATTTGGGTAGTTTGGAATCCACAAAAGGCAGTGCGGCGCGATTGTTCCTTTTTATGAGGATGCATGAGCACATGGCAATCGGTAATCACCAACTTGTCGTCGTCGTTGCCTTTTTGCCGGACTGGGAATTCCTTTTCGAGAAACTCTCGTAGTTTCAGAGATGTAAAGGATGGAGGTAGATTCTTGATACAGAGTCGGGTCGATGACACAGGGGCATCAGAGGAACTTGGCGCCATGGCAGAGTCTGGTTGGTTCTTCTTTTTTCCAATAATTTTGTTCTTGACATTGCCTCGTTTTCTTTGGGGACCACTGGTCGAATCTCGAGCGGAAGAACGAGCCGTCATTATTGCTATCCTCGGGACTTTATTGATTATTCAGCTAGCTTACTGGCTGGATCAGCACAAGTTGCTTTATGGGTACGGTGGAGTGGATAGCAAGAAATGGTATGGGAATATGTATTTAATTTGTGATGCTGTGATGAAGGCTCTGTTGGGCACTTTTCTTTTGCGAGTGGATTGATTGGTGGCAAAATACCCGGTGGAGGCCAGACCGACGATCTTGCAATCAACTCCCGGGATCTTTGGTTTTTGTTGTTGTTGCTGCAACATCATGGGTGCTGTGTTTTGGGCGGCGGTCTCCAACTTTGAAAGAGCTCACCCACCCTACTAGCTACCGATATGCAGGTTGTCCATGGCATTGAGGGCAAATGACAGTGACAGTGGCTGGCCGCAGTGAATCCTTCAACTCCAGCACTTTTGCTTGCGTCTTCACAGAGTTCTACATGTACGGTACCGGTATCTCTCGAGGCATGAAGTCTGGTGGCCCAGGAAAGATCTGATCAAAGCCAATAATGCAGGGCAGACATCTCAAAAGACTCTTGTACAAATAATTAGGATATCGCCGTGTGTCTAGCTAGCTAGTTTAGCCCTCGTAAAAGATCATGATGACTTGTCGTCATCCTTCGGCCTTGCAACGTTGCTGACTCGCAATGGTTCACATTGATTGAATTGTCCGATGTGTAATACTTTCCAAAAACAGGGATTCCATCACCAGCTACATCCGCAAAGGTTGGGGTGGTACTGTTCGTCAAGTCCACTTCAAAATGCAAGTGCGGACCGGTGCTCAACCCCACGTTACCAGACAAGCCAATCACGTCTCCTTTCTGGACAACTTGTCCAGAGGTTACACATGCACCTCCCTGTTTCAAATGCAAATAAAGTGCATACGATCCATCCGTATGGGTGATTTTCACGAAATTGCCTCTACAGTCTTGCGAAATGGGACAACTCCCCGTGTTGGAATCAACCACGGAGGTGACGGTCCCATCGCGCGCCGCCAGGACGTTAGTGCCTTCGTCCATGACAAAATCAATCGCATAGTCCCCCGAATGGCTAATGTCGCAATTGTAGCCTTGCACAACTGTAGGGCGAAACAACAAACTTGTTCCCTTCATATGGCAAAAAGTAGGATCGACTGGAATCGTAGGTGGTCGGAGGTGCTTTGCAACGAGGAAGACGATCCAGCAGCCAACCGATCCTGTAGAAAAACGTCCCGGCAAATTGAAAATCCAATGGCGCGCGCGATCGCAAGAATTCTTGGAGGCGCAGCCGACACGATTCGTCGCGAGAGCGCGAGCCAGCGGATTTTAGGCTGAGATCGAAGATCCAGTCGAGGCTGGAGGATTTTTGCCCAAGGGCCTAGGCGAAGCCGTAGCACGAGGGCAAAAATCCGACAGCCGAGACACCAGATCAAGATCAAAGCCGTCAATGAGGCGGGAGGTCTTTGTCTGTAATCTACTTGACAAAAGCCCGAGTAAATAGCCAATCAATCAAGCCCTACTGTTTAGTGCTGGAGTAGAGTAGTCAGTCGCTGGTCATCCTAGAGTAGTCAGTCGCTGGTCATCATGTGGTCGTCATCAGAAGAAGAGGAGAACACCCGAACACTCCTTGAGGACCACGAAGGCGAGTTTACCCTTCCACCCGTAGAGGACTCCAGTAGTAGCAGTAGTGAGGAGGAGGAGGATGAGGAAGAAGCGGTAGTGGGAGGGGCAAAAATCCGACAACCGAAACACCAGATCAAGATCAATGCCGTCAATGAGGTGGAAGAAGCCGACGACGACGAAGAGGAGGAAGATCACGTTGAAGAAGAGCTCCGTCGGCCAGTAATGATGACTCAAGGAACCAGCTTTGTTGTGGCAAATCTTCTGGCACTTGGCTCTGAATCCAACATTGACTTTGGTCCAGCCAGAGTCTCATTGTCTCCCCAAAATCCAACTCCAACACCAGAAAATCCACCAAAAATGCTGCTGAAATTGCCAGTGCTCTTGGTGTTGGTCGAGATTTTACACCTTGGACTTGACAGAGGAAGAGCAAAAGCTTCTAGAAAATTGCAAGGACCAAGGAAGACGAGGCAGAAAGTATGAGAAGAAATGGAGAGTCTTCAGAAGCGATTCTTCAAGACAATGAAGAGCATGGAGGATCCGTCTTCACAGTCTTCTTGAGATAGTTCCCGTGATTATGACCAAGGCCACTCAACCAACTATCGTTTCTTCAATGTGGTATGCGGAGAAAAAGATCGAAACAAACATAAAATCCTCAACTATTGTGCCATCTTGTGCGTAATGAAATGGTGTGCTTGTCCGTACCAACAAAGGCAAGCACTCTCCCCCCACCGTCTTCACACAATACATCAACAATGTATTACACGTCACCGAGTGGAGAAACATGACGCACAACAAATTTCAATACACCTTCAAGGAGGATTTCAATGCCAAAGGAGATTTCCATGGAGTCATGATTCAGTTTTGGGCGGAAATCCGCAAGAAGGATCCAACATTTGGAATTCGTAGTCATCATTCGGAGATCGATTGGGAAGCGGACAAGAAAATCCGCGAAGCTGTCAAAGATGGTAAACTTCATCCGTGGACGAATCCAAAAGATCTCCAACGTGTCTGTGTATTCCATCTTGGTCGATCTTTTCTTCTTCGGGGTGGTAAGGAAATGTCAAGTCTCATGATGCGGGATACTTATTCCGGGATGTACACTCGGGAGATGGGGGACCTGGCTGGATGTCTGCATATGGCAATCCGATTACCAGAAGACAAGACGAATCGACTGACATTTTACAATTCCAATGCTCTTTCGGACAAAGACCGTTGGTTGGAAATCGTCGAGAATCCTCGTGATCCACTGTGTGCTTACAAGTGTTTTGACTTTTACCTGTCGAAGTGTCATCCGGAAGCCGAGAAGTTCTTCGCCAAGGTTGCCTCCGAAACGCAAAAGAAGGAATACAAGAAGTATTTCACCAACCACAAAGTTCACTCGAACCGGTACAAGGATCGTGACATTTGGTTCCAACCCTCAGGTGATACCGCTCAATACAATCTTGGCCACAATACCGTATCCAAGATGGCCAAGGAACTCGGAACCACCATTGGAGTCACGAATCTTGAGAAGTTCACGAATCATGGTCTTCGTGCCTATGGAATCACCAAGATGCATCAAGCTCGTGTTCCAATGGCTGCTCGATTGAAATTCGCCCGTCACAAGTGTGAACAGAGTCAGATTCCTTATGCACGTCTCGTAGATGAAGGTCGATCGACTGCTCTCAAGGCACTGATGTGCTCTGATAAGGAT